TGTTTGGGCACTCAGGCAGTATCCCAGCCCTTACACTACTCGAATGATTTATGTGGCATATCTGTATTCCATTCATCTTTGTACCAATGCTTATGTGTCTAAATAATAATTTAAAAAATCAATAATAAATTCCAGTCAGTTTTATTTTACATAAGTCCCATCTATGAACCAAGTTAAAAATTACATTTTATCAGTATACCTTCAATATTCATAATAACTTAAAAGGATGTTTTATTAATGCATCATAATATCAATTAAATACTTTATATCACAAATTATCATGACAGTTTTATATATGCCAATAATAATATTAATGTAAATATCATATCACTTAATAATATAATCTCTTCATAACATTGAACGTTTCATCTCGACAAAGAACAAATACCTCATTACTGAAGATTGTTGTAAATTTTATTAGAAAATGATAACATTTCAAAACAACTGACATTTCAATACTTTTCAATAGTTCGTATATATAACTTATGAATTTATTTAAATTGGCAATGAGATATTCATTCATTGCTAGCGGTTTGTTTGAACATGTGTGCTACTTGTTCTTGTCATCTAGATATTTCAACAAGTTATCTAATTTTGTTTGTTTTAATACATTATGATGGCTATTAATCACATAACCTATTTAGGTGAGTTTGTGAAAAGTGTACAACCTTTCGTTGTACAAGTTACAACAGGACACAATCAGAGATATCATGGTTGTTGGCAATATGCATTGAAAAGAATGTACATTATTGAGATGTCAATTGACTGGACTGCTAACTCTTAACTGACGATCACTCAATATTTATCGTCAGGATCGATGAAGAATTAAGAAACATAAACTTGTTGAAATACATTTGTTGTGGCTTTAAGTTGTGGTTGATTTTTACCCTGTGCTAACTGTTGTGTCCTTGACCGAAAAACTAGAGAACAGCGTATTTATCGACCGATTCAATGACACGTAAACACGTACGAACGTAATGGACGACCTAGAGTTACGATTGGTCCCGATTCCCTGTCTACCCCAGCCAGTTGAGTCTAGAACACAAATCTCAGCCTCTGAGTTATGAATCATTGTATTTCAGACATACTCTATTTATATACTAACCAAACATACCACATCGTACCATAAAAATAGAAAACAACATTTTGTACCATATTCAACAAGTGGACAGATATCGACCAGTAGGAAATGTCCATTTAAAGTCCAAGGACACCATTGGACCTAACATGATAATTATTGGTCTATCCTTCCGCATCCACAACAACATTGTGTTGAGAATTCTATATTGTACCAAAAATGTAATATTGAATAAAGCTACTAATAATACGTAAATCGTATGGGAACAGTACTGCAAAATGAAAATTGAAAATGTTGATCTATATGTTCGAACATTATGATTTAATCGTATTATAGTAACTATGAGAATGATCTGTAAATTATGGAGGTGTATGCACTCTCGGTCTTCCCTTAAACTAAGAGGTTAAAATCACTTCATATCTTTCTTTCTATGAACTAATTCTTTCTTCATGTACTATACTTTTATATACAATCTTTATTCTATATATTACCCCCATTGAAGTAACTACGTCTATGAATCTAGTGTTCATCTTGCTGTGCTAATGCGGTATGGCAACTCCCGACCGTAGCTGTTACTTTGACGCGGTGGTCGGGCTTGCCTATCGTGATGACCCAACCGAGCTATATTGGCTGGATCACATGTTCATGTAGGTTCTACCATGCCAGGCAGGTCGATTGGAAAACGGTAAGACTAAAAGCAGCAACTCAAGGTTTGAGGGCGAAGTCATACTGCTGACTGTAGAGGGGTGTGACAACAGCAAGGTGTTTACCTCGGACAACCGGCATCTGCAGCGATGCTGCGTTCTCATAAGGAGGGGTGGGGTTAGAAAAGGTCGACCCTTAAAATGTCACACCTCACCTTACCTCACGGATTTCCATTTCTGGCGGTAAGGCCCTTTGGAGAACGGAGCTAACACATTAAAAACCTCCCACGAAAAGTTCATGCGCGACCGGCCTCAAGCAGTTGTTACTCGGGCTCTGCGGTGACGCTCCCAGTTCGTTAAGGCCAACATTAATCCAACTTACTTTTCAGGTTCCTCAGAAAATACCCTTCCATGGTGTGGGCAGCCGTGAAATGACATCAGCCCTCATACCCGTAACAAAACACGAGACTGACTTACTGGTATGGCAACTTGGACCGATGCATATATGTGCCTGGTCCTATGTTGTCGCTGACTGATTGATTTATAAGTGTTGAACTTTTGTGTTCATACTTCAATAAAGTCAGTAATTAGAATTTCGAAAACATCTACTATCTAAAACTTTACGATTTTCAACTATCTTTTAGATGATATTTGAGTTTCCGGGGGGTTTTCTTTTGAAAAAAACATCTACTTCATAAAATTGAATAGATGAAATTGTAAAAAAAAAGTTATTGTGAAGCACTTTATTTCATTCATATAAGAAGATATAACATACAAGCCACTATCCATCTTTGTTTATAAAGCTTGTGACTTAAGGCAATATGAAGGCAATCCACATATGCCAACAAGAGACTGATGAACTACAATCCTAAATAACAATCGAAAGATATGAGTAAAACAACACCAGTTGAATTTAAAACCCCACCGCATTACACAAGCAGGTGGTTATTAGGACTTGGTAACTAAGTGAGTAACGCGATGGCGTTTGAAGCGAACGGTACTGAGTTCAAGTCCCAGAGTGAACACCAACTCTGGGATGCAGGTACATCCAGCTGACGAGTACCAAATAAGACGAAACGCGCGTCAAAATGGATTCTATTGCTAATCACTATCCATCTTTGCTAATAAATCTTGTAACCAAAGGCAATATCGAGGTAATCCACATAGCATATACATATGCCAACAAGAAAATAATCAATTACAATCTTAACTAACAATGAGAAGATACGAGTAAAACAACACCAATTGAATCTATACAATTTTTTCTTTTAAGAATTTATTTATCCAATGAATAATATACCCATAATGTTTTACATAACTGGAAATGAAAATTATAATATCAGTAATATAAATATGAAGTTTATCCAGTCAGTCAGTCATTCAATAACAATGAAGAACTTCGTACGTACGTACATCAGTCCGAGTTGCCATATCACATTAGCACAGACACCGTGGACTTAATAATAATAATAATAGTAATGGTAGTAATAATAATAGTTATAATAGTAGTAATATAATTTATTCCCAACAAACACTTGAACTCGGATACAATATCCTTTTATAATATTTTGCTTATATTTCCGTGGTAACATTCTACTTAAGTGGATCATGTTTTTCTTTTTAAGAAAAATAAACCAGAAAAAAAAAGAACACACTTTACATTCAAGTACATCTAAGTGAAGGTATCTTTAAACTATACTTGCGTGAAAATAATAAAAAACTATTTTTTTCTTTTCTTTTCTATTCTCATATTAGTAAATTTTCTATTTACCAAATGTATATAAACTATGGTTGATAAATTTGTAGGTATCATTATTATGGTTTGACTTGATTATTTATTAATTGTTGAATAGATTGTTATAAATAAATCAATATTTACTTACTTACTTACGCCTGTTATTCCTCATGAAAGAGCATAGGCTGCTCACCAGCATTCCTCGTCCAACCCTGTCCTGGGCAATCCTTTCCAGCTCTTTCTAGTTGTTATTCACCCGTTTCATATCTGATTCTATTTCTGTTAGGGACGATAGATCCCCAGAACTCACTTGAGAAAGGACCTAATTTTGCAATTTTATTTAGAAAATTTGAATTTCTTTATTTTCGCGCCAAAAACACTTGTCACCTTCATGTTTTATTTCCCACTGGGAAATATCTTAAATGCTGTAGGTCCGTCGCGTCTTTTGGTATACTGTTTGGTAACTCACCCCAAGGACGGTTTTGTACTGTATATATATGTTTTGAATTGTGTTTGTTGTTATCGCTCGTTTCTGGCTGTTTACAGAACATACTTTCACATTCCAAGCTTGAACTTCTCCCTCTAGTTAGAGGGGCTGGGACGCATCAGTAGCTAGCTTACTGGTCTTTGGTCACTGAGTCTTGTTTCTCGTTTGGAGATTAAGTGAACTCGTAATCGCTTTAACCCTAGCAATTTCCTGACGTAATGTGGTCATTAATATATTTATAATTACCCAATGAGTTTCGTGACTCGGTGTTAGCCACTTATTTAGAGTAAATAAATAAACAACCCAAAATTAATCTAAGTTTAAATACTACAAAGATTATTTATTCTTAATGATTTTTCTTTTAGTTGAGCACAAGTCTACTCCGTACATTATTCTGTAACTATGAAACATGACATTTCATTACAATAAACATAAGTAGTTTGTTAATATTTGATTACAGGTATATTTGAAGCATTTCTCACCTAAATTAAAATCACAGAATAAGTGATAATAAGTTGGGTTATGTAGTAATAATTAGAGATGACTATTATTGGAGTTACACAAGAAGATTCATCAAATAGCGAATGTAGTATAGAGTTGAACATTTTTCACAGTGAAACTAGTCCCATTCTGCATGATACACTGTTGAATGGAAGACAAACAGTAGTAGACAAAACCCTGTCACAATTCATTTCTCATTAGCTTTACTAACATAGATATGGACAGAAAAGTAAGTACATTAGAAGAATAGAAAGATCGGTATAAACTTGTGCTACTGAATATATGTCAGAGTCTTTATCCATATTTGAGCTTCGGTCTTGAAGAATATCTTTCCTTTTAATTTGTGTACGTTTTTTGTTATTCAACCCTTGTTAAGAATTTAATTCAGAATATGGTTTATTAGAACACTGTCAATGTCTGAGAAAGACTAGTTGGTTTACCAACTGAACTTTCAATTACCTAGAAATTTAGATAGCTATTTAGAAATTCCTACTAAGGTCAAACAAATAATCCTTTTACAGAAAATTATATATTTTTCGATTTCGTTTATTTCAGTTAAACTAATCTAATCCGATGGATTGGTAGACAGTTAAAGTGGTCTTCAGTTGACCTGTGAAAGGGTGTTTCTCAGTTAAGCAGTAACAAAATGACCACAGTCTGGACAGCAAGCAGTCTACGCCGACAAGATGGACGTTATAATAGTCTATCCAGGAGTTTAGGATCTTTGATGTCAATTGTACTTGACGAGGATAAATCTCCTTCCGTGTTGATTTTTTCTAATCAATCACCAAGAGAGACTAATTTACAAACAAGTGTCTCTGTTGGTGATCGTGTCGGAGATGAGAATATTTTGCCGTTAAATGGATTAAGTTTTCGTTCATTACAAACAGACTCTTCTTCATCGATTGCATTTGTTGGCAAAAAAATTAAACGTGAATATCAATCGGCATTTGTATTACCTGATAAACAAACAATTGGTATTATCCGTCAAGAAGCGTTTATGACTGAAGAAGGTTTAGCTCAAGTCACGCTTAGTTTATGCGTTTCGACTGATGTAGATAGTTTAAAAGTTAGTAAAAGTGAAAGAATATGTGATTATCTTGATACGGACTATTGGGCTTCCATTTTATTAGCTTCCACTGAATCTCACGATACTGAACTATTAGGATATATGGGACCTGAATATACTTCAAGAAAACCGAATCGTTTTAACTTTGAACGTTCTGAAAGCCGACGACGTAAACGAGAAATTGTGCTTGTTCAAGAAGAGATTGAAGATAGCGATGAGAAAGATAATGTTGGGCAATTTGATGGTAGCAATATTTTGCCTGAAAGTGTTACAGTGTACGAAAAAGTATATCCTAAAGAAAAGGATGAGTGTGATCCCCAGACACGTCGATTAATCCTGCATCCTCCACCACCCCTTCCACCTCCACAGCTGCCAGAATCACCGCTGCCTTCACCACCGAAAACTTTAAAAGTATCTGAAAGAAATGCTTCACCAAAACCACAACTAACTTCGAGTAGAAATTCATGTCAGCCAAAAGAACAAGCCCCAATAATTGGACGGGCCGAACCACCTGGAAAAACTAAACCAATTGTAAGTAGTCCGAAATCTAAAGAAAATTTTGAAAAACTTAAACGTCAATGGAATAATCGTATTGCTCAAATGCAAGAACATTTAGATAATCAGTATCGTGATACACCAACATCGCTACCACAAACTTATACAGAAGGACATCGTGGTTCTACAGTTACGTCAATTCTCCCCACAGTAGATAAAAGATCTTCTGATCCATATGTAAAAGGTCGAATTTCATCTACTGATCAAAGACTCTCCCCTGAACAAGCATATGATCATCAATCTCTTCCGGATAGAACTTCAATGGATCATGGATCAAATAAAGAGAATTTTATTTATCACAGCTTTGATTATATCAGTTCATCATCACCGGGTTCCGGTGATCTAGTGGATCCGGTTACGGAACGTTGTGAAAAAGAGGCACAATTTATTTATAGTCAAGCAAGACTATTTGTTAATCAACAAAATATAGGCAGATTAAGTCCACGAAAATTATCAGGTAAACAAATTATTTTATTTATCATGTCATATTATTATTGTTTACTTAAGTACTGATTGGTTTATTGATTATTTACTGTAATTAAAAAAACTTACCATCAAAACGATAAGTAATTTCAATGATCGATGAATTAGTATCAGAGGGGGTTTGGTGGAGATTATAGTAATTTCAATAGTTGAGATCATGAGTTAATTGAAGCTAGACAACCATGAAAAACCTGGAAGCACTGTCTGATGGCCGTTTCGTCCTATTGTGGGACTCGTCAGCAGTGCGCATCCATGGTCCTGCCTCACTAGACCGATGAATTGTTTGTTCTCTGTTTTCCTCCATGAAATGAGAGTTTCACTGAGTGTAAAACGACAACTTAGGAATCAGTTCCAGATTTGTACACCGTAAAAAACAGTTAAGTATACTGAGTTTGATGGGATAAACTTTAAGTAAAGCAGGAAATATTTAGAAGCTGTTAGCTTGCACTGTTGAAGATTACAATTTAAACGATATCATTATGTAATTTAAATCAAATTATTCATATGAAGGAAGTATTATGATTCAGCTAGCAATAACAATCTTTCGATTGTTATTTAGGATTGTAATTGATCAGTCTCTTGTTGGCAGTATGTGCATCCTGTATAGATTGCATCGATTTATAAGCAGATATCAATAGTGGCTAACAGTGGAATCCATAACGTGGGTTTCGTCTTATTTGGGACTCGTCAGTCGGATGTTGATGTTCACTCGGGAGTGCGATGGCTTTTGAAGCGAACGTTACTGGGTTTGAGTCCTAAAGTGAACATGAACTCTGGGGTGCAGACACATCCAGCTGACGAGTCCCAAATAGGACGAAACGCGCGTCAAACTTGGTTCCACTGCTAGCCACTATTCGTCTTTGGTTAGAAAGTATTTAATAGTGTTTAACAAGTTTTCATATTAGTCCAAATATAACTATGATGTAATATCTGGGTTTTTTATGTGTTATATATATTATATAATTATGGTATTTTAACTAATATTAAAACCCTATCTGCAATACATCTGGATGACTCTAAAATCAACAACTTTTAGAGACAAGACAATCTGGTTACAACAACTATTTTCTTTCCATTGAAAACCTTCAATTAACCTAAAGTTATAATTCCAATGGAATTACTGAGGCCTCTGATGTATCCAAGATTTTAATCCATAATCTCTGTCAATCACTTCATTTAAATTTTTTAATATAGTTTCAGAAAAGTTCTGATGTGGATATGTGATCAATGTTGACGGAATGTTTGATAATTAACCCGTTATTTGATATGCATTCCAATTTTGATAGTAATATAAGATGGTAATTGGAAAACCTAGAAGCACTGGGTAGGTCTCATAAGATGAGATCATGGGGAGTCTCACAATATGACGAAACAGTCATCTAGTGGTTGTCTAGCTTCAATTGATTCATGATCTCAACTACTGAAATTATTACAATCTCCACAAATTCCACTCTGATATACATTATTGTTTTATTTAAAACAGAAAGCATTCATGAATAATCTATATAAATGTCTTTACACAATCTAAAATTCTTATATAAAGTGTAAATTTTCATCTTTTCATACAAATAATAGTTCACTTAAATACTTATCCTTCATTGGTTATTCAAGGTGATGGAATCCATCAAGGATGATATTTCTTTTATTTAAACTTTTATCTAGTTGAATGATTAATCGATTGTGATACTTTCAATAATGAACTACTTTCTTTATAACCTTAAAGTTATACTCCTTATTGGTTAACATTTAAGAATGACCTTGATTACCATAACATTATAATTTACATCTGAAATTGAACTAACTAGTGTTTATATTTTGAATATTTCCATCAAGTACATATCTATTTAATTTCTTATAATTAAAATAATAAAGGTTGATTCTAATTAGATTGTAACAAGTCACCATGACAATCTATTGTAGGTATAAATGATATAAATCGGTGTCAAATAAATGAATGCTTATTGATTATATTGTACTCATTTAACTGTAAAATCGCATATCATTTTTCATGTGATCATGTAATGTGGAAAGAAAGAAAAACAAAACAACAATGTACTTTATTTGTATCTATCCGTTTCTGGAAGATAATCAGTATTTAGTAAAAATTTTTAGTCCTTTATATGTATATATAGGGGCAACTAAACCAAAACGTGGCATCAGTGCTTAAAGTCACTAACTTCTAGTCTGAGTCATGTTGGTAGATGCAAACTACTTGGTTGGGGTTCACGTGACCAATAGTTTGAGACTGTGGGTGACATGGCTCAGAATCGATCACAATGGCATAGGTGTATACACTCTTTATCTTCCTTTAAACTATGAAATTAAAATCGCTTCATATCTTTCATTCTACCACCTAGTTCTTTCTTTCTGTAATATATCCTTACACACAATCTTTCTTTTATATACTACCACCTCTGAATTAACTACTTTTATGAATCCGGTGTCCATCTTGTTGTGTTAATGAGGTATGGCAACTTGAACCGATGTATATATGTGCCTGGTCTTACGTTGTAACTGACTGATATATATGTATATATATATATCGTTAGATATGTAGTTTGCTTAAATTTAGAGTAACAATTTGCAAATTGGATTTCCCTGTTATTATCCCCTTAATGGTTCGATTGTAAACTGAGCATCTAAGTGATTAGATAGATACATATGAATGTATGGAGTGATGATGAAACAGTATTCTTGAGTATATGACCAAACTATTTTATTGTCATTGTCACCATAATACCTTTGAATAAACGGTCAATCCTTATTTTTATTTGTTTATATAACATAACTCGTCTTTAATTCATAGGATAATTATGGTGAGCTGTTAGCAGTAGAAACACTGATTTTATACTTAATCGTGTTTGTTTCTTAACTCTGTTGGAGATACATTGGTTGTAAGTATGATACCTAAGTTAGGTAACTGTTCATTCCTTCATACTTCATTATCGTATCAGCTTATTTAGTTGATCAGTCACATGGAGAACCTAACCGATAAGATTTTGCAAGTTTTTTCAACCGGGTCTATTGTGAGATAATAACTCACTGGAGACAATGATGAATGTGTCGTTCAATTTCGTGGATTGGTCGAAGTTAAACATTAACATCGTTGGATGAAGGTTCAGTGATCTAATAGTTAGGCGCTCGCGCGCGAGACTGATAAGTCTTGGGTCCGAATCTCGCGAGGTGAGACCGTGGATGCACACTGCTGAGTCCCACAATAAGACGAAACGGCCTTCCAGTGCTTCCAGGTTTTCCATGGTGATCTCACATCAACCGATTCATGATCTCAACTGTTGAAATTTATCAAATGCATTGAATGCTTTATGTATGAAATTGTTCCTAAATTTCTCATCGGTATCACAAAATTGATGAACTGGAAATAGTCATTTTATAGTTTCCTTAAACTCAATCATTCTGTGAATTCAGACTCACTTATATTTGTCTGGAAAAATTAATAGAGTATCACATTTTGTACAAAAATTTCACATAAATTCTATAATTACAGTTTATAGAATTTAAGGTGATAAAATTCTCACGATACATTTTAAACTGTAGACATTCAGTAATCTTTAACATAACGGTAGTCAGAGCCCTCATGAATGAATACAAATTTTGCTGCAAATTGTTATCTTTATTGCTTGGCTTATCGTTAATACCTCATTTGTTTGTACATATTGTTTATTTTATTACCAAGATTGAATCAGTTTTGTATACATAATTCAGATATTCTCACTGAGTGTTAGTCTTTCATCAGAACTCTTATTGTGAAAGCGATTTATATGGACAGTGTTATTTTTGGAGTTATTGTCTTATTGACGATTCACATTGAGTAATTTAAAACACAAGTTCACGGTTTTCTGCTGATTGCTACCAATCACCTGATATCAAACAAAAAGGTTGACCATGATTTCCAGTTGGTCGTATTAGTTACTTCATTGTAATATGATCAACAGAATATAGTCACCTCCAAAGAATAAACAAATTTGATGCCTCAGTTTCACTGAAGATCATTTTTTGCCTAAGCCGCTTACTGTTAATACTTCTAACTATGATAGAGGTTGATCTGTGTTACAATTACCTGGATATCATCATTTCATGAAAATTGTAGATACGCCTTGATGACGTGTACTAATAAAAGCAAAACAAATGTGAGTCTTTTAGCTAATTTTCTCCAACCATTTAACACAAATCAAATGACTACTTCAGAAATCACTAATTGATTTTACGGTTGTTACTTGAAGGATTCGGATAAAGCCACCGACGGATTCTCATGTTACATGTACCCTTGTAAGTTATGAACTAACCAATGTTCATTCATTTGATACTCTCTTCAATTTTAACATTTGTTTCTATGTTCATTTTTGTTTAAAGTAAGTTCGAGACTGATATTGAAGAAACACCGTACACAACACACACACAGACATTAATACAAACACCAGATATAAGTGATAGACACTATTGAGTAGAAACTAGATCAATCTATTTTTCATCAAAAAAACACACTTCTATTGTCATTTACCAAATTAGCATATTGATTCGAAGAAATGAATGCTGAATTTATAAATATATGCGTTTGTGTGTATATAATTCTGTTATGTGATACATCATAAAGATGGAACCAAGATATAAAAAAAAGAGATACACCTCACTGATCATCATATCATTCATCTTGACATTGTATTAATGAAATATTTTGACACACATGAAATATAACTATTACTTATTTTCAAAATTATGATAAAACCTATATCCACTTGGTGTTGTTTACTTGTATCTTCCTATTGTTATTTAGGATTCCAATTGATTAGTCCTTTATTAGCATATGTGCATCCTGTACGGACTGCCTTGATATTACCTGAAGTCACAAGCTTTATAAGCAAAGATGGATAGTGGCTAGCAGTGTAATCCAGTTTGACGCGCGTTTCGTCCCATCTGGGACTCGTCAGCCGGATGTACCTGCATCTCAAAGTTGACGTTCACTCTGGGACTCGAACCCAATACCGTCCTCTTCGAACGCCATCGCACAGTATGCACATATGCCAATAAGCGACTGATCAATTACAGTCCTAAACATCAATGAGAAGACCCAAGCAACCAATATCAAGTGAGTTTAAACTTCACCTCAGGACTCAGTAGCTAAGTGGATAACCCGATGGCGTTCGAAGCGGATGGTATTGGGTTTGAGTCCCAGAGTGAACACCAACTCTGAAATGCAGGCAGATCCAGCTGACGAGTCAGAAATAGGGCGAAACGTGCATCAAACTGGATTCCACTGCTAACCACTATCCATCTTTGCTTATGATAAAACAATTTGAATTGTATACAAATGACGAATAATAATGTATACGAATTTCCATATGGAATCATCAACAGGTAGACAGACTACATTAAGTTTATATGTTCTTGAGTGACTGATTGCGTGAACGACTGACAGTTATGTGACGCTCATATTCGTTTCTATGTTCCAGAGTAGAGCATAAAAACACATTCAACTGGTATCAAACAATATTTTCATCGTGAACTAAGGAGGAACAACTAGGGTGTGATATCTGACTATAAAGACAATTACTACTGATCTAAGCTGTGCTAATAAGTGCAGGTTTTTTTATTGAGATTCATGACATAACTGTTATCACTAGTTGAAGACTGTAAGGGATACGAATAGAGACCAGTTACGGTGACAGAGGTCCATTTGCATTGTTTTAATCGTTCTTTTAGTTTTGAACATAATTTGATACACCAGCCTCCGTTTCATATCATGATATAATTATTTTTACTACTGTTTATAAAATTATATTCACTTAGTTGTTTTAGTCATTTAATTGTTTACTAGTTTTCCCATGTTCTGATGCGAAATATAACAATTTTGTACTAGATTCGAGGTTGTTTACATCCATCTGCCTTGTTATATGGTCATAAACTGATTCTCATTAAAATTACAGTAATATTACGCAAACATTTCAGTACATTAATTTAACTAGTCACAAGTAAGGACAAATGCTCCCCTTGAGTCCCACCGTTCAATACACTGAAAAGGAATACTTGCATGACTTAACTTTATTTCATAAATATTCACTCACCATCATTTCAAAATCAAGAAACCCTGAATAACTGTTTCATTTCCACTTCGGATTTTTATCCCTTTCAAAGATCGTGAGTGTACAACACTGAAGAGTCCTACATTAGGACGAAACCATTACCATCTCCCTATTAGCTCTCAATAGTTGTTCAGTTAGTGCTAATCTGTAAAAAAACTTAATTTCAGTTTAGTATTTTTAGTTTTCATTAAAATCAATTACAGTTAGTCAATTTCTACTATGAGAAAATATACACGCCTAATAGTTATAATATAATACTCCCTCTAATCAATACCATTTGTTTGATTACTGTATATAATTCTCAGTACAAAATATGCAATATTCTAATAAATTCGTGTTTTATAAGCATCCGATCGGGGAATATTCTAAAAAATGTCTAATAAGCTTAAGAATAATCTTGTGCCTATGATATCTATGCCTACTATGTGAGATGTATAAATTCTGTCAGTCAGTCAGTCAGTCAGCTACAACGTAAGACCAGGCACTTATATACATCGGTTCAAGTCGCCATACATCATTAGCACAACAACATGGACATCGGATTCATAGAAGTAGTTAACCCAGTGGTGATAATATATAAAAGAAAGATTGCATATAAGGATGTGGTACAGGAAGAAAGAATTAGTTCATAGAAAGTAAGATATGAAGCGAATTTAATCTTATAGTTTAAGAGAAGACAAAGAGTGTATACACCTACACCATTCTGGTCGATTCTGAGCCATGTCACACACAGTTTCAAACTATTGGTCACGTGGACCCCAACCAAGTAGTTTGCATCTACCAATATGACTCAGACTAGAAGTTAGTGACTTTAAGCACTGATGTCACGTTTTGGTTTGGTCGCCCCTAACTTTCAACCATCCCCAACACTAGTCAGAATTGCGCGTCATGGTAATCGGTATTCAGGTATTTTCTCAAAAGACAAGAAAAAAATATATGAATCACTTTAATGGAACTGTTTGTGTTTTTCAGTAATTAGATTTTTGATAAATTGGTAACATTTATAAATACTTATGGGTTTACCTTATTGACAGACAGGTTGTTGATAAAAACAAACCTGAAAGACGTGAATCCCCAGTAATAAATGGATGTCTAAAGAAGCGGCAATCTACACGTTTGAGAAAATCTCCCATTTAGATGAAGTTACTAACCATAATATTAAAAATGGTCTTATAAGTAGTTCGAATGATATACAGTGAACGAGAAAACAGGTGAGGACAACCAACCGTATTTTGACAACATTACCGAATATCTTGGTAAATTCTGAGAATCATACAGTTAATACTTCATTTGCAAAATATCCATCAGTTTTCTCTGAATTGACTGTTCCTTCATCTCCATACCAATCGTTCTTTGTTCTCGTTCTCTTCTCTTCAATTTTCTCAACCTTCTGTCGCTAGGCATTCCGCTTTTGACTGGCGATGCAAACTACTTATATCTGTCAACATCAGTAGTACCCACCAAAGACACAGTATAGAATTTTCTTTTTTTGTTTGTCCTAATATCCAAAGTAGATTAGAACTTTGAAAAACAGTCAGTTGAAGTTCTGTCACATTCAAGGATAATGTGTCTTGTGAATCCTTATTTTCTAGATGGAAAAGTACTATGGAAGTGTTATAAATGGAGTAAGAGATAGAAAATGTTGACTAGTAGAGTGAAAAAAGTTTTTTTATACTTATTTTGAATGCAAATACCATAAACTGTTGGTTTGCATTTCTGGAATTTAAGATGTGTATAAAACATTGATATTGAATGGTATTGGAAAAAATGTAATATGATAGATAACTGAAAAACACTTCAGGTTTGATGTAGTATGACACTATTGAGCAGTGAATATCAATGGCTTCGCTGGGGATCAAACAGCGGACTTACAATCTTTTCACCGAACACAACCTTTAGATCACTGACTTGTCATCGAATGGTTAACATTCCTAACTTCACTTATACTGCGATGTCGCATAACCAATCGAGCTAGTGTTTCACACCTATCATGGCTGAACTCCGCTGGTCACACCTTCCCACTAGGACTCCAGGAATTACCTTTTGAAGTTAATCAACAACAAGCACATGATACTTATTTTAGTATAGGGAGTTCTGTTATTTTACCTTAGTTTTGTTCATTAGAATCGATTGTTTTCATGCATTTTTTTGGTGAATGTTGTAAAATTGGTGATTGGTCTCATTTTATAATAACTTTTTATTAAAGTCCCTTAGTAATTGAACTTTGCACTTTGCAGATTATATACTTACTAATGCCTGTTACCCCCAATGTAGCATAGGCCACCGAGCAGCATTCTCCAACCCACTCTGTCCTGGGTTTTCCTTTCTAGTTCTATCCAACTGTTGTTCATTATTCTCATGTCTATCTCCATTTCCCGGCGTAATGTGTTCTTTGGTCTTCCTCTTTTCCTTTGGCCTTGAGGATTCCATGTGAGGGCTTGGGTGCTTCCCTCAATTTGTGTCCTATCAACTTCCAGAGCTTCTTCCTCATTTCTTCCTCCGCTGGGATCTGGTTTGATCTCTCCCGCAATACGTTATTGCCAACGGATATGAAGTATTTTTCGTAGACAACTATTAATAAACACTTGTATCTTCTGAATGATGGATTTCGTAGTTCTCCAGGTTTCCGCCCCATACAGTAGAACTGTCTTGACATTTGTACTGAAAATTGTGACTTTGGTGTTGGTTGACAGTTGCATTGAGCTTCAAACGTTCTTCAGTTGTATATACGCTGATACTTAACAGTTCAAAGTCTAATGAATTGATCATTGCATTCTTTGGCTGAAGGTAATCATTGAATTTGTAATTTTGGAAAAAAATGTCCTGAATTTACACAGAGTGTGGCATTCCTCACTCAACTACTTGAATATATAAATATTGGTATATTGATATTTCTTCGATAGTTATCAGTATGGGATTGTGGAGATTATTAAGTTTTTGATTGAGATCATGAACCAATTGATGTGAGACCATCATTGAAAACCTTGAAGCATTGTACGGTCGTTTCGTCCTATTTTGATGTTCCTCAGGAGTGCACATCCACGATCCCACTTCGCGAGATTCGAACCCAGGACCTACCAGTCTCACACACGAGCGCTTAACCCCTAGACCACTGAGTTGATATTCAGCGGTGTTAATATCTAACCTCAACCAATCCACGAAATTGCGCGACCATCTTACATTGCATTGCTGAGGTGTCCCACAATAGGACGAAACAGCCATCCAGTGCTTCCAGGTTTTCAATGATAGTCTCACAACAATCGGTTCATGACCTCAATCATTTCGCCGATAACACAAATAACTGTGATATGCCTGAATGTATGTTTATGGGTATATATATATATATATATATATATATATATATATATATATATCTTACACCAACAAATGAGTACTGATGTAGTTAGTTTTCTATTCCCGTTTCTCATCAAGAACATATCACCTAGTTATTGTTTTATCCTTTTTCCATGCGAAAAAACAAACAACACAACACAAACAAACAATACATTCTTGCCTATTTATAGAGAGTAGTTCAATGAATGATATAACTAAATTGAAGACATCTAATTTAAATCATCAACAATTTGAACAATTATTAATAGATAACACCGTGAAATATACTGAATTAAATAACAATAATCAATCATCGATTTCATTTATAATCGATAAATTCAATATAGAACAATCATCTAAACAAGCTTATATCTATCAATCAACCTATTCACGTTTACCAATCACTATTAAAAATATAAGCTCATATCATCAAAATAATAATAATAAATTGATTACTAATAAAATCAATAATACTATGATAATGAAAGAATTATTCAATAAATTTGCAAAACATGAATTAATATTAAATCGTGAACCAACTTATTCATTTCATATACCAATACAATTATCTACTACTGAATTCAATTTACATCAATATAGTAAAACATTACCAAGATATAATAATAAATATGAAATGATTATACATGTCAATGATTTACATAATTCATTAGACAATAATAATGATATGAATATGAAACAATCAATTAGACATAGAATGTATACATCGTTACCACGTACAAAACATGCATTACTTTATTATTCTCAACCAATTAGTTCAAGAATAGTTTCAAATTCTTCTATATTAGAAGATCGACAACAACAAGATATTCGTTCAGAGTTTAGAAATGGTGAATATTAGCTGTACATTTAGTTTTTTCAATTGTGTTCTTCTATCTTCACCATGCGAGTGTAAACCATATGCTTATAAATTTAGGTTGATTTAAAACTGCACAATCATTTGATTAGCACATAGCATCAATGAAATATCTATATTTATATATTGCATAATATGACTCTAGTGATTTATTGCCTATATTTATGCGTTTGATTAGCTTTTGTTAATCACTTTGATTCCTCGAGTTTTCTTCTAGCTTATAACTTTTTTTAAATGGAAATAGATTAGTTTGTGCCTTGAAAGTTGCTTTGTGTTATCTTTTTTTTAAATTAATGTATCATATGTTGTCCTTAAATTCAAAACGGAGAATAGCAATCCAATCACTCTTGATGGCGAAGCTCTGGAAGATGTAGAATCCTTCACATACCTGGGAAGCATTATCGGTGAACAAGGAGGTTCAGATATAGACGTAAAGGCGAGGATTGGCAAAGGAAGGACCGCATTTCTACAATTAGAAAAATAACCAACTATCAACCAATATCAAAGTCACAATCTTCAATACGAACGTTAAGGCAGTTCTACTGTATGGAGCTGAAACTAGTATAATTACAACAACCAAGAAGGTGCAAGTATTTATAAATGGTTGTCTACGCAAGATACTCAACATCCATTGGCCGGATACCATCAGCAACAGCCTTCTCTGGGAGAAAACAAACCAGCTTCCAGCTGAAGAAGAGATTAGGAAAAGACGATGGAAATGGATAGGACATACATTACGCAAATCATCAAACTATATCACGAGGCAAGCCCTAACTTGGAATGCTGAAGGGAAGCGGAAAAGAGGAAGGTCAAAAAACACATTACGTTGGGAAATAAAAGCAGATATGATAAGGATGGATAATAATTGGCAAGAGCTGGAAAGGATAGCCGAGGACAGGGTTGGACGGAGAGTTCTGGTGGTCGGCCAATGCTCCTTGACGAGAAGTAACAGGTGTAAGTAAGTAAGTAATCATATGTTGCTAAACTTTCTCTAGATTTGACTAATAGTTTTGGTTTTTGTTTATAACGTTTCTCCATACTATATAAACTTAGAAGATCACCAGGTAATTAAGGATTTAAAAAAAAGAAACACACCTTATATCTGTTACATAGTTTTATCCAGTTCATAACCTATTTTTGCTATATCCTGATGAGAATAATGAATAGTAACTGTTAGGATCTATTTATGGACTTATACTCTACATATGTTATTATTGCATAATTATTAAGTAACTAAACTATGTATATTCATATTCCTGTCATTATAAGTTTCATTTTGACTCATAAACTATTATTATACAACTTAATATTCTTGAGTTATTAACAGCTTATCAATTACAGTCTCCTACATTCACAGTCACTTTTGGTTAGATCTTGTACAAGTTTTGTTTTCTATTTTATAGTACGACGTGATCTGTTTGGTTTATGTATAAACCCGGTATATTTGAAATTCATGATTCATATCACACATGTTGAGATTGGTGTTCTGGACTTAAAAGTCAGGGTTAGGTAGGAAGCAGGAACGATAGGTACTCTAGACTACTCGTACGGGTTCAAGTTAGATACTAACACCGTTTGATGTCAACTGAGTTGTCTAGAGGTGAAGCGTTCATGTGTGACCGAAAATCCTGGGTTCCAGTCCCTCATGCTAGATCGTGGATGAGCACTGCTGAAGAGTCCCATACTAGGGCAAAATCGTCGTCTAGTCCTTTCAGGCTTTCAATGGTGTTCTAATATTAATTGGTTCATGATCTCAATAAAAAATTGTTCTGAACAGCGAAATAATAGATAGCACTAGTGTACTGTAATAAATGAGAAGTAATTTGAATGATACAAGATTTAGTCACCCTATGTTTTGCAAAATAAATGTTTTATGATACTCATTTATTGGATAAATATATGTATATGTGCTATAACTTTTGGCCTTGTTCCCCATTAATACATAACGTAATGATACCAGCAATTAGAGAACAGTGATTTATCGACCGGACCAATGACGCACAAAACCCCGTACGATCAGTCTAAAGTACCTATCGTTCCTGCTTCCTGCCTGACCCTGCCTGTTGGGTTCAAAATACCAATCTCAGCCTCTGCGATATGAATCATGTATTTCAAACATACCGGGTTTATACATAAACCAAACAGATCACGTCGTACTATAAAATAGAAAACAAAACTTGTACAAGATCTAACCAAAAGTGACTGTGAATGTAGGAGACTGTAATTGATAAACTGGTAATAACTCAAGAATGGTAAATCGTGTATAATAATAGTTTATAGGTCAAAATAAAGCTTGTAATAGAAGGAACATGAATATACATAGTTTAGTTACTTAACAATTATGCAATAATAATATATGTATCGTATTAGTTCATAAATAGTTCTCAACTGTTACCATTAATCATTCTCATCGGGATACAACAATAAGTATATGCAATGTCGTTAAAGCTTAAATTTCGTAATTTAATTGTTGAATTCATGAGTCAATTGAAGCTAGACCACCACGGAAAACCTGAAAGCACTGGATGAACGTTTCATCTTAGTATGGGACTCCTCAGCATTGTGCATCCACGACACCGCCTTACGAGATTCGAAGCCAGAACCTATCAGTCTGACAAACATTTCGAATTTAAGAACATTTGACAGTTTCCTGACAGATTAATTGAAATATATTACCTAATTATTCAGGATGTGGTTTACTTACACTCAGTCGATTACTGTTTTAGCCAATTATACCGTCTGTCCAAACACAAACCTTTACTTTGAAGGCGTTTTGTTCTCTGAGCTGGATGGTTTGATCGTGGGGCTCTCATCGTTCTTCTGAACGACATCATCAGCACAAACTTTAGATAGAAGTGAAGTGTTCGAATTTCTCCATATGCGTTTTACAGCTTGTTCTGTACACCTTGACGTTGATCGGTTCTTATTGACCTTAAATTCGTCATTGTTTACTTCTTTGTTTTGGTTGTGTCTCTCATTCGTTTGATTTTTGTTCCTATATTTGTGCATAATTTTCCTGGTTGGTTGATAAATTGGATCGATTTCAATGCGCTTGTTGATTGCTGATTGACATGAGTGCCAGGCCTCTAAAAATCCTCTGGTGTTTTTGGAATTCCCTCTGTCCAAGATTTCCACATTTTCCCAATCAAATGTAGTGTTTTTCGCAGTTGGCACAATTTATTTTGTAGATGATGTTTGATTTGTTTTCCTTTGTTATTTCATCTTTTGGTTTGCATAGGATTGATTGTAGTGATTTTGTCGGTTTGTGTGCCACACCTATCCCGAAAGTTTTCAGCAGTCTCGTTGCGGTTTCTGACATACCTTTTCTGTTTTGTAGGGTGATCCTTTTGTTGATTTCTGTGCTTGACTTAGGTTCTGATGCTGCGTGCGGTTGGTATTTTTTGATGAAGTTGATTGAGTAGCCGTTCTTTTGAAATACGTTCTTCAGGTATTTCTCTACATTTTTTCGTGCTGCCAGTGTGCTGCAGTGTGAGTGTGCAGTTTAAATCAAATTACAAATCTAACAACTCCATGAGTTTGTTTATAGATTAAAACTATAGGAATTCAATTTCCGAATGATTGTATTCTTTTAATTGTTGATATTCAGAAGTGTATTAGATCAATCTATGTTGGTATATAGGCTGCTTGAGTAAATGCCTCGACTAGTCCTTGTGATTACAAATGTGACTACTTTTGTTTACTGACTTGAAGAGATGCTTATATGGTTTGAGTATCTGTATGAAAATCAGCATGGATGTAAGTATACTCAGCTGATATACCTCATACAGAGCTAAGTACAGGTTCTGAACATCTCTGTTAGCTAAAATCTAAGATATGAATCATTTAACATTGATTGACTTCACTACAGAAGCAACTTTAGTCTTAACATAATAAAATCATACTAGACATTCAAGAGATATATATAGTTATAAAGCTTTTTAAATCTTCAAAATCTAATCATGTATCTAGTTGATATTTTTGAATAAAACTAAGATCAAACTTTGAATTGATGATACATACTACTTATAATTGTCAACAACAATAGCACACATCACATGTTAACTTTAGAGAGTAATAAAAATTAACCAATCAAATTATTGATTTAGAAAGTTTTCAGTAGTTACTACATTCATTGATCTCTTGCATACTAACAATTCCAAGAGTTATTTAACATAAATCAATGAAATACATCTTTACTAGCTGGCAACTTTTCTTTTTACACTCCAATTTGGTTGAAATCGGTGATTAACTTCTATAAATCACTTATTATGATTTACATATAAACATCCCGTTTTTTTTGTGTTTACCATCTTTCACCTTTTTTTTGAGTGCTGTGTGATGTTTCTCCACTGTGTTTTTGTTTATTGCCTATGCACTTATGTTGTGTGTTCACATATATATCTAATGTTATCTAAGTATGTTCTGAGTAAAATTAGCATAAATGCCGTTTTTTTATTGAATAGTTTGATAGATCCCTCTCATCACAAAATTGCTATAACCTCCACACACACAAAATACTGATTGCGTAATTTGTGCTAACCCATACACAAATTCATAGTCAGTAACTTGTAACCATCATGTTAAGTAATCTATATCAACATCAACAACAACAAATTCCTTTGAATTATTTTACAGGAAGTGATCTAACTTATCATGGAAAGACGAGTTATTCAGACATTTATTATAAAGGTATGTATTACAGTCCCCTTAAAGAAATACTTTTCTCATTTTAATTCTACTAATAATTATTATTGATTGAAATTATGAGTCAATTGAAGCTAGACCACCATGGAAAACTTTGAAACACTGAACAGCCGTTTCGTTCTATTGTGGGACTTCTCAGCAGTGCGCATCCACTATCCCGCCCTATTCAGTTCTTCCATGTTATCCATGATGGCTTAGCTTCAATTGACTCATGATTTCAACTATTGAAATTACTAAAATCTCCACAAAACCCCTTCTGATGCTGAAAGATCGCCTAATTAAACATGTACTGAAACCCAGTAATTTTACGCTAAAATGCCGAAGATACGTGAAGCATAGAACAACACATATAGGCGAACAATTGTTTTCAATTAGATCGTCATCAGGCTTTACTCTAATATACATGAATATTTATACGAAAATGTTAAACCAAACAAAGCAATTCGGGTCGATAACCACAATGAAATAGAATAAGTCACCACACATAATGGGTAAATGTACAAGTTAATAGTAGGAAGATATGTGTACTGATCGTAGTAAGAATAATGAAATTTGATAACAAAAGTCTTATCAATAGTTAAACATTGGAAATAAACGGTCGAACGTGGGTAAACAGATTTAGTGGTAAGCGCTTAGTTAAACACTCGCGCGCAAGACTGATAGGTCCTGGGTTCGAATCTCACGGGAAGTGGGATCGTGGATGCGCACTTCTGAGGTGTCCCATACTAGGACGAAACGGCTGTCCAGTGCTTCCAGGTTTTCCATAGTGGTCTGGTTTCAATCGACTCATGATTTCAACCACTGAGACTTAGAATAGTCATCACAAAACATTAAAACCATTATGTAATAAGTGTGTAAATAATTAGATAGTGAAGAATACAAACGGAAAGAGGCGGCAAATTACAGACAATATCGGGTGTGAAAATAATGTTAATGGTAACAAAAAAATAGTTTATTAAGTTATAACTGGCTATGGAACGGATAGAGAGGTCACGAGTTTCTTCTATACACATAAATATGTGAAGCAGTCAAGTTAAAGTAATTTTTACACCATTTGTTACCACAAATATTTCATTCGATAAAAAATAAGAAGTTCGAGGGAATTTGGCATGGCAACTTGAACTGATATATGTACGTACGAAGCTCTACGTTGTTACTGACTGACTGACTTCGTATAGTTCATTCAACTCTGTATGAAGGATTAAGAAATATTTCCTATCATACTCAGTTTTATTTAAGGTTTGAACTTGTAGGTTCTACTTGCAATATATTGATATGCCTGTTTTCAACTTATGGCAAAATTATTTTCATCTTAGAAGAAACTTAATTTTACTGTTTCAAAGAAGAATGATTACTGAAATCAGATAAATAATAAATGACTATTATAAGCAACGATAAATGGTGGCTAGCAGTGGAATCCAGGACGCGCGTTCCGTCTTATTTGGGACTCGTCAGCTAGATGTACCTGCATCTCAGAGTTGATTTGTCACTCTGGGACTTCAACCTAATACCGTTCGCTTCAAACGCGATGCCAATAAGAGACTGATCAATTGTAGTCCTAAATATCAATTGGAAGATTCAAGTAAACAATGCGAAGTGAAATAAATGATTATTTTAGTTTTTTACTACTTCAAAGAAATAAAGTAGTTCAAAAAATTACACTAAACATTTGGGGGATACATTCAACCTCAACACCCTTCAACTCTTTAATAAAAACATTGCAAAAACAATCTCGTTTAATCTTTTCCATCTAGTAAACGTCGCTCATAATTTACACACTCACAACCTTCATATGAAACTGTAACAAAGTTGTTTTAAGTACACATAGGACACACGTTATCATTGAATTAGTTTATTAGCGCACCACAGTTAACGTCAAATTGATATTCACATTATCATCACATTTATTATACATACACTTGGATAGTTACGGCGTTATTTTAACCACTTTAGTCAAAACATTTGTATTTATTTCAATTACGATAGAATCGATTACTTTAAGTCCTGAATAAGTTTCTTATTTATCACTTACAATATAGTTCCAATGGTAATTGGCAATGGTTATTGTTATTACTTGTGTTTATTTTGTGTTGTTTATGAATGTTTTTCTTTCATGTTGTCTATGTTATATCACTAACTATCATTGCTGTTGTGAATTTTATGTTGTATATTTATTCGTCTTATTTTCTTGATCTATATCCTCCACCACATCAACACTTGCCAACGTTATCTAATCACAACCTTATTACACATTGAAAAAACCAAACAAACAACATCATCAAGTAGATGATCCATCAACTGATAGAAGTGAGGAATTTATAAAAACACTCACTAAATACAAAGCATCATCAGAAATAAACTATTCAACAAAGAATAGAATTCTTTTAGATATTGATCAAAATCAATCACCTATATTAACAGGACCACAATTATATCCATCATCAACTGATCTAAGTTCATTACTAAGTCCTGGAGGTGATAATTTCAAAAGTTATCTAAATAGATACGTTGAACGATCAGAAAAATATTGGAGTCTTCCAAAAAGTTATTTTATAGCTGATGAACAGATCAATAAAAATGAAACAACTACTAAACAATATGATTCAATGAATATTACATTGAAAGATTTAATATATGATAAATTCAAACCGTTATCACCAACTACAGAAGCAAAAACTGATATAAAACTAACATCAAATCAAGATACAGACAATTTAAATCTTCACTTTTTAAAACCATACAAATCTTACAGAACCATTACAACTAATGAAAAGAATTCACAACGAATTAAAGAAATAAATCAAAATGAGAAATTCAACACTGATGACCTCTTAAGTAAAGCATATTATGATGAAATGAATCGATTGAGTAAAAGAAAATCATTAAAAATGGATGAATTAAGTAGTACATCAAGTTTAAGTATATTAGCAAAGGCATATGAAGAACAAATAGAGAATCATAGAAAACAAATAGATAGAAAATCGACTTCAATCAAAGGAAATGGTAGTAAGACTACTGATGAATTAGGTGAACATAAATCTTCATCTAAGCCAATGAAACAAATGAATGAACAAGAAAATAAATTAATGCAAAGTGATATATCGTCTGATCATCAACGGAATAATTTAACTAGAGACGAAGAAGTTACAAAGTTTGATGTTCAAAAACCGTCAAAACCGGAAGTGATTTCGAATTTACCACCTTCTGTTTTGGATATCCCTAAACGTTTAGAACAAAATGATCGATTAAGTAAGCATAAAGATTTAAAACCTGACATTACACATCAAATTGTTACTGATGATAAGATTTCTGAAAAATCACATAAAGATCATCTCAATGATCAGATGTCAAAACAACAAGAACTAAAGCATCATCGACATCCTCCTCCTCCACTTCATCATCATAAAAGTTCTACAAAGGATGAAATTTTGGAGAAATTCATATCCACTGGTGATACACATAAGCGTTCATGTGACGGTCCAATGTCATTTGCGAACTTCAAAAAGAATATGATTTCAGATAACCTGCCAGTGGATGAAGAGCATAGCCATCATCAAGGTCGTCATCTGTCTCATGACGAGTCAAAAGTTTTTTCAAGAGATTCAAAGTTTAGAAAACCAATACATAACAATGAAGGCCAAACTGGAACTCCACTTGCTCCTAAACATAGCTTTGAAGACAAACATACCAATAAGAGTAAGATGGAGCAACAAATAAAAACGGAAAAACCGAAAACACAACCTTTGGATACAAAAGCTTCACGTACTTCAGAAGAAAACCATGGAGAATCTATGAAAGACCAAGAACGAAATGAACTTGTTAAACGAAATAAAACACATCATCAGTCACTAAGATCTAAACAAAACAAACCTCATACATCTATAACTTCAAAAAATGATCGTATTTCATCTTGGGTTGAAAATAGTAGATATCAAACAAGACAGCTATTACAAGATGGTATGATTGACGTTGTTCCTCAGGCTCAACCTCAAAAATCTGATTTAAAAAGACATCAGTCTTTAAATGAAAAACGGAACTCCTACAAAACTGACGACAAAATGAAATATAGGCATTCTGATGATCCTTCAAAGAAGCCCATAAAGAAGGACAGTATAACTTCTGATTACATCGCTTCTCAACCACCAAAATCACATTACAAATTAAATGATCAGAAAGATCCTACAAAACCATTGGATAGTAATCAACTGAATAAAATTGATAGTTTAAAAGATACTCATAAGAAATCAATCATTGAAAAACAACAACAACAAGATCGAAATAATAAAGATAATATTGTAAAAATACCTGACATAAAACAGGAAGAGAAATATTCATCTAACAATGTGCGTAAACAACATCCTTCCAATGAAGTAAATAATCTAGATGTAGAACAATCTGTTGGAGAAATTCCACCTCATTCAAAACAATCTAATTCAAGTAAAATTAAACAACCTTTAAAAGAATATGATGGTAAACAGTCAAGACAATCAATAAAAAAGCAATCATATACAAAAGATAATGATGATGATGATGATGACGAAGGTAAGAGAGAAAATCTGGCAAAAAACACTGATGAAGTATTAAATCGGTCGAAACAATCCAGTGAATTAGATCAACATAAAAAGAGAAAAGATAATGTACCATATCGAACAGGTAACTTGAGTTTTTATATTGCTTAATTGTAATGCAGTTATAAAATTTAATAAATTGATTTACTGCTTAGATACTATTAATCAATTCAAAATGGTAAGACATTTGTTTTTAATATATAATAATTCACATTTTACATTGGGTTATGTAATTCAACTGGGTGAACGTTATAGTCAATGGTGTTAACCAAAATATCTTTACTTGTTATTGATCGGTGTAGTCTCACAGACAGTTTTAATAAACATAAACTATTAAATGGAATACATATATATATATATATATATATATATCACAAGAGTATAACCAAAGATAACAAATTAACAAACAGTTGTTGATAATAATTTTTTTCGTCTATGAACAGGTTATCATATTTGATGTTGTTATTCGTATACATTGATGACAATCTAATTGTTCACTTATATATGTTGTTCGAGTTTACGTTTATGTTAACTTCTTTCTGTTCATTATGCACATGGTAACTGGTGTTAGTATTTCTGTTTCTTTTTAGTTTCGATTATTTACTTTACAGCATGTTAAATTCTCACTATTACAAATCAATTGTTCATACCCAAATTAATCAAACTATGTATATTAAATTCTTCGTTTCATCGTTCACTTACTTGTAAGTAGTATAAAATATTTCGAGAAAATTAACGGTGACAATAATAATAACAAGATAGTAAGTCACTGAAGACAATGGTGGATGTGTCACTCAATCTTGTGGATTAGTTGAAGCTAGACATTAACACCGTTGGATGCCGGCTGGCTTAGTGTTTTAATGATTAATCGCTCTCACGCGCGACTGAAAGGTCCTGGGTTCGTATCTTGCGATGCGAGATCGTGGATACACACTACTGAAGAGTCCCACAGTAGGACGAAGCGGCCGTCAAACAATGCTTCTCGGTTTCTCATGATGGTCTAGCTTCACTTGATTCATGATCTCAACTATTGAAATAATAAAAAAGCCTATGGCACACTATTCATGAAAACGTCATTGTTTCTCAAACAAGTTTCTTAGCTAAACCTTGAATATCAGAGGGGATTGTAATGTTTTCTCGATTAGAAAATTTTATTTCTGTTCATCACTTCATTGGCGACCAGGGTATTTTTATTAATGGACTTTTCATATAATCTCCCATTATTATTCATTCCATCAATCATTCTATACGTTAAAGTATGTTTAGTAGAAATTCGGTTTGGTTTTTGAATGCATAAATTAGTTATCAATTTTTTTATCAACATCATAGAGTTACTCTCAAACAATCACAATAAGTAATAACTACTACCTATTTCTAAGTAATATTACTCAATTTTGAGCTACACTGTAAGTTTAGACACTAATTATACCATCCAGTTGTTTTAGTCAAAATAGTTAGAACGAGATTAGAACCTATGGCCTAGTAGTAGAAGGTTGATTACCTGTATTACTAAGTTATCAATCTATTATGTTTCTATGATTGATAATTCTGACGACATTTAGATTTATTAAAACAATAGAGTAAGACATTAGAATAAATTGATCTGTATATCTTGTTAGTCTGAAACATATCACATACTTAACAGATGTCAATATCAGCAGAGGTTTTGTCGAGGTTTTTAGAAATTCCAATAGTTGAAATCATGAGTCAATTAAAGCTAGACCACCATGGAAAACCTGGAAGCACTGGACGGCCGTTTCGTCCTAGTATGGAACTCCTCATCAATGCGCGTCCACGACCCCGCTCCCCGCGACATCCGAACCTAAGAGCTATCAGTCTCGAGCGCAAGCGCTTAACCATTAGACCACTGGGCAGGCATCAGACGGTGTTAATGTCTAACTTCAACCAATCCACGAAGTTGCGCCAACGTACATCATTGTTTTCAGTGAGTTGATATCTCACAACAGACCTGGTTGAACTCCACTGGAAACGGCTTCTCACTAGAACTTCCAGGAAATGCATGTTGAAGTCAGTCACCATCCTCGCTCGCAAGACTGGCAGGTCCTGGGTTCGAATGTCGCGGGAGTCAGGATCGTGGATACACACTGATGAGGAGTCCCATAATAGGACGAAACGGCCGTCCAGTGCTTCCAGGTTTCCCATGGTGGTCTAGCTTCAATTGACTCATGATTTCAACTGTTGAGATGTCAATATTTTTATTTATAAAGATTCAACTTTATAACCGAAACCTTTTAAACAATACTTCACTCATAGAAATGAAATAGATATTATTAAATAACATAGTTCTTTTTAACAGCTTTGTTTTGTTAATAAATGCTTTCAATAATATTTATCTTTGATACTCAAAATAAAACTCATACATAGAAGACTTGATCAATGAATACATGTTTCAATGAATACAAATCCTCAATGCATGGAATTTTCTGAAATCAATTGAACTGCAGAAACATGATATCTTTTGTTTTAAATAAATAGTCATTACAATAGTTGAGATCATGAATCAATTGAAGCTAGTCCATCATGAGAAACCGAGAAGCATTGTTTGACGGCCGCTTCGTCCAACTGTGGGACTCTTCAGTAGTGTGTATCCACGATCTCGCATCGCAAGATACGAACCCAGGACCTTTCAGTCGCGCGTGAGAGCGATTAATCATTAAAACACTAAGCCAGCCGGCATCCAACGGTGTTAATGTCTAACTTCAACCAATCCACAAAATTGAGTGACACATCCACCATTGTCTTCAGTGAGTTATTCCACTGGTCACTGTTTCTCACTAGAATTCCAGCAAATATCTCTTGGAGACTGTCACTAGAGAGTATATGATGATTATAATCAGAGAGGGGTTTTGTGGATATTATTAGTAATTTCAATAGTTCAGTTCATGAGTGAATCGAAGTTAGAACACCATTGAAAACCTAGAAGCACTGAATGGCTCTTTCGTTCTATTTTCATTAGATAATTACTAATTGGAATGTATAAACTTTAGTCTCGTTTTTTTTAAAATACCTTATTAAAAACATTAACTGCTACTTCTTACATGTTTTATATTAATGGTATGTTAGATTCTCGACGATAGGAAAAAAACAGTTTACATTTATCTATAGGAATATTTTTTAGAAAAAAAAACCCTCATAGTAACTAAAGATAAATGAACTTTGACTACATAGAAACAATAATATAAATCATTACCAAATATATCGATTTTTGTAAAAAAATATAGTCGTAGAAACAACTGGCTACATTTTCATGATATACAGTGCGATTATTATTATTATTATTATTATTATTATTATTATTATTATTATTATTATTATTATTATTATTATTATTATTATTATTATTATTATTATTAAGAGTTGATGAGAAAATCTCTACTATATGGAGACTAACCCTATCTAATAGTGTTTTTGTTTTTGTTGTTGTTGTTGAGTTTTTCAAAATGTTCTAGCGTCAATCAATTTGAGTTGTGAATATCTATCACATCAATTCTATTCGAATTTATTCATTATGAATTTATGAGAAAAAATGATGTTTAACTCAATATACCCATGGTGATTAGTTATATAAGTACATAAAAAATGAGTTTCATTTGTTTAAATACCAAAAATAAAGAATTAATCACTAGGTAACATATTGTAATCTGTAGTTTTCGGTAATAAAGCAGCACTGATATATAAATATGTTAACGGATGATATGTCTAATCTACTTTTGAAAAATAATGAGCATACTGCCTAACAGTTCACTTTTTATTCACTCACAGTTGTGAAATATAATTTATGAAAATAGATGACAATTGGGGGTGGATTTGTCGCTCAATTTCGTGGATTAGTTGAAGTAAAACATTAACACCATTGGATGCCGGCTAACTTAGTGGTTTAGTGCTTAAGTGCTCGTGCGTGAGACTGATAGATCCTATACTCGAATCTCACGAGACTGGATCATGGATGAGCACTGATGAGGAGTCCCATAATGGGACGAGACGGCTGTCCAGTGCTTCCAGATTTTCAATGGTGATCTAGCTTCAATTGACTCATGATCATCAACTATTGAAATAACTACAATCTCCACAAAACCCCTTCCGATACTAATTGGAGATTAAATTTTTTTTCATCGTAGGTGTCTTAAAGGATTCTTCATGTATAATGAAATTACCAATTGAATAATGTTAAGCGTATGATGTAAGACAAAAATGATGACAAATACTTTTATTGTTTTGGTAAATCTACACATGTATTACATATACTTAGCTGTTGCTTACACTCATATTTGGCTTAGAAGTTGAAAGGAAGCTAGGATCTTCTAAACCAAAACATACCATCAGCTGGTAAATTTAGTGACTGTTGAACCCAATTACCCGAACTTTTTATTTGTAATTCGTGCACTAGTCGTAATCCATGGGGAAAAACATTGAGTAATATGATTTAAGATCGATTACGAGGGTTCAGATCTATTCATGACTTATTACCTCCTGAAGTTAATATCACTCCTACATTTTTATCATTTTCAAAGTGTATTGCTTTTATTTAATTGAATTCTGAAGCTGATATTGTTTCTCCTTCATTCTTCATCATCCAGTAAAATTTTTTTATCGCAGTACTCATGTGAGTTTTGATAACTTCTATCGGCATATATTTGTATTAGGTTATGAGTTGTTGATGACTCACGGATTGTCTGACCTTTAATAACTGAATGGTTATAATTAAAAAGTTTAATTCTAAGGTATGATGAGTCCTTTTAAACTAATCAGTCAAAATTGTGTGTTGTTTTACTCATGGACTGATATTATTTAGTTTGCTATTGAATAATTGAGAACAATCAACAGTTGAGATAGTGGAGAAGATTTGTAGCTCAGGTGGGTGGTTTTGATGGAGTTTTGTTCTCTGAGCTGGTTGTGGAGCTTTCACAAACTTCAAGTACCTGAAGTTTGTGCTAATGATGTTGTTCACAAGAACAATGAAAGCTCCATGACTAAACCATCCAGCTCAGAGAACAAAACTCTATCAAAATGAAAAGTTGTTTCATTATACTGAACTCTTAAGGACGGTATCACCACCTATTTGATAGGGTAGTACCCACCGAATCCGTGTCTCTAGGTGAGCAATCAACTCTTGTATCAAACAGTTTAAATATGATTGTTCACATTTCTAACTTCAAACAATTTTGAATCTATCATACTAATCATCCAGTGTCATCAAAAATGATCACATTATTCCTATGACGAATTCTCTGCATGAAATAAAAAGATCATTTGACTTTTGCCAACTTACGTCACCCATGGCGAAGGTGCGATGTTCGTCTGTCAATAAAAGGACGAGTATACTGTGCGGCAGTTCGTTCTGTTTCATTTTATGGATGCGAAACGTGGCCATTAAAAGTTGATGATATTCGTAATCTACTAGTATTTGACCACGGATGCCTTAGAAATATTGCTCGCAACTGCTGGAATCACCAAGTAAGTAATAGTGAGGTTAGACGCAGAGTATTAAGAAATGATGATAAGTCAGTTGATGAGGTTGTGAATCTTCATCGACTGAGATGGTTGGGCCACGCGTTACGTATGTTTGAACACCGATTACAATGACGTGCAATGCTAACCGGTGTTGGAGATGGTTGGAAGAAAGTTAGGGGCAACCAAATCAAAATGTGGCATCAGTGCTTGAAGTCACTAACCTCTAGTCTGAGTCATGTTGGTAGATGAAGATTACTTGGTTGGGGTCCGCATGATTATCGTAACCAATCGTTTGAGACTGTGTGTGACATGTCTCAGAATCGATGATAATGGCAGAGGTGTATACACTCTCTGTCATCCCTTAAACTATGAGATTAAAATCGCTTCATATCTTACTTTCTACGAACTAACTGTTTCTTGCTGTACTATATCCTTATATGCCATCTTTCTTTTACATATTACCACCATTGTATTAACTACTTCTACGGATTCAGTGTTCATGTTGTTGTGCTAATGAGTGAGGTATGGCAACTTGAACCGATGTATATATATGCCTGGTCCTACGTTATAGCTGACTAACTGTCATTATTCCCGACGAAAAACCATTTATAAATTAAACTTCTCAACGTAAAAGCGTTTAATCTTGCCATCCTACTAAGTTAGTAATACAATATTAATGTAAATTCTTCTAAATTTATAATCATGTAAACAATCAAATGACCTACAAACAATGTAGTGTTATTATTCTTTTGTTTGTTTTAAAGTTTCATTCACACCTTAATTTTTTATTTGTACATAACCCTAGTTTCTTATTTCAATATATAAGGGCTTGATTCATTCATTCATTCATTATGAATAGATTAATTTCACACGGTAGGATAAAGAATATACATATACATCTATTGTGTAAATATTTCGTTGACCCTTATTTTAAACAAGCGTATTTAATACAAAAATGCTACTATGTCAATTGTTTTTCAATAAAGAATTACATGAGCTATAGAATTAACTGATGTGCATAATCAACATAACCTTGGAACTGAGATAGATCAATAGCAAAAGTTGTATACTTCTTCATTTTGTTATATTTCTGGTTATAGATAAAGGTTTACAGTTTACAAAACAACGGGTACTTATTTTCGAAAACGTTTGCTCAATTTTAAAATTATTTTAATAGTTGAGATCATGAGTCAATTAAAGCTAGACCACCATGGAAAACCTAAAATCACAGGACGGCCGTTTCGTCCTACTGTGGGACTCCTTGGCAGTGCACACCCACGATCCCACCTCACGAGATTCTAACTCTGGACCTATTAGTTTCGCGCGCGAGCACTTAACCACTAGACCACTAAGCCGTCTGTTATCTAATGGTGTTAATGTCTAACTTCAACTGATCCACGAAATCGAGCGACACATCCACCATTGCCATCCGTGAGTTACTATCTCATAACGGACCCGGTTGAACTTCACTGGTCACAACTTCTCACTAGCACTCCAGGATATACCTCTTAAAGCCAGTCACTAATGATCATATGTTGATTGATATCAGAAGGGTTTTTGTGGATATTATGGTCATTTCAATGGTTTAGATCATGAGTCAGTTGAAGCTAGACCACCATGGAAAATCTGGTAGCATTGGACTACCGTTTCGTTCTATTATGGGACTCCTCAGCAGTGCACATCCACGATCAGATTTTTAAAAAACATAAGAATTTAGTTTAAAGGACAATGTATACAGATTAGTTTATATTATCCCATGAATGATGGCATTGAACATAATGTATTAGACTTTGATTTGTGTTAATTATCATCTCTAAACAACGATTCCTAGGAACTTGAGGAGTCAACAAATCTTAAACATACATAAATACGCACATACATACATACATATTTGCCTCATATAAGTATATACATGTTCGTAACATTTTTAAAATGAATTTACTTACCATGGTTAGGTGTTAGTAATATCGATTTGATAATTCTAAAACCCTAATACTTTTGATTGTACATTAGTAACTTTCTGCTATCGTCCGGAATCAACAATTGAGTTAATATAGTTATAAACAGCTAGATTTTCAATGAAAAGATTTATTTAATTACAATTATGTCATAGAAACATATTTGAGCTGAGATCATCCTAGAATTAGATCATGCAACTATTCTAAATGCACAAGAGTATAATCTTTCTACAAAATCAAAATGATGTAGATTAAACATAAAAGATTCTTATTTATATCTGTACATTCTGTTATCAACTAAATGTAAGAGAATTTGTTTGGGCTTCTATTGTTCTTCATAAAATGTTGTAAATAATCTTCTCAATTATTTTAGAATAAGTGGATTTAGGATAGAAGTGAAATTTAGAATGGAATTTTTGTTCAATTTAAAACTTGTCATCTAGATAATGCTACATCCTATGGTTGATATTAACATGAGAACTTGAGCCTAGCATCTTTCGCTTTGATTGACACCCCGTTATCCACTGGGCTTCTGAGTTCAGATACCTAAATACTTGTTCAACGATTATATTGTATACATTACTATTATTAAGGGTTTGAATTATTCTATGTTACCAAAACCTGCAAGTAATCCTTACTTTTTAATCTTTATAAGTTTGAAACTTTAGATGGTCATTATACTCAGTCAAAAACCACTACAAACCCGGTTAAAACACCGGACATTCGCTTTTCGTCTTCTCAGTTTCGTAAACAACACTCCCGCCACGAGAAGGTAGTGAGTAGGACTTTCCTTATAGTGGTTGTATGCACATGGCCCTGTGAGATCATTTCGAGAGTGAAAGCGGACTCTTCCCACTCTCGGCCTTACCAGGGCACTTAAGGGCTCGGTTAGCTCAGTCGGTAGTGCATCAGACTTTTAGGATTTCACTAAGAAAATGTTGTCCTTCAATTATTTCAAGTCCCAATGTAGAAATTAATTTTCTATTCCCTTCATAACTGCAAGTAATTTAATAAGAGATAATGAGATATTTTATCAAATATTCGACGTGATCATAAATAAACCAAGTTTATTGTAAAAATGATAGCTGTTCGAATCTCTGTCAATAGTACGCACCAACAATGTCCACGTAGAAGTGAATGTACTAAAGCCGCTTATATATGTATATATATATTACAGTCGTTATCATTGGGGTGGTCAAATCAAGACATGACTTCAGTTCATGAAGTCATTGATTACTGGATTGAACTACGTTGATATGCGCAGACTATTTGATTGAGGTTATAGATGCATTCACACTGTCTTCTCTTGGATCTCAAGTTTTTAAATTATCTTATACTTTTTATTTCGTGAATTCATTCTTTATTACCAAATCATGTTACCTATACCTAATCTTTCTACTATTCTGGCATTTGTTTTGGCAATATCATCTCTAGGTGATGTCATTGTGTGGCAACTTGGACTGATAAATATATTTGCCAAGTCTTACTTTACTTGTAATAGACAAACTGACGGAATAGTATACCAATCGAGGAAACTTTAGAAGTCACATAGCATATATATAATATCTACCTAATACTCGAAAGACGAACCGAAGGATATCTAACAGAATAATGACCCCAAGGATTATCTCCACTTTGGAAACTTAGCTAAATCAATGGACTTGTAGTCTGACTAGTAACCAAAACACTTAATCCAAATCAGATTTTGCATAACATAACACAAAGTTATCATCATCATATAAATATTAGGAAAATCAACATCTGTTCTTAAATGTAAGTCTAGATGAATACATCACATATTATTATAACTTCACAATCTCATTATCTAATTTCGCCCTAATATTTATACGTTTCAGTTGATCGAGGTAATCGTCATTTGACTACAACAGAAACACGAAGTAAAGTGACCGACGAACTTCCAGGTCATAGACGCCATCCTCCACCGCCTCTTTCTCCAAACTCGAAAGAAGATATACACTATCCACGTGACGGGACTGTTAGTCGACCTCGAATTCCAGATGGTTCTAAAGCTGGTAAGTCTGAGAATCAGTTCATAGAGGATCTGAGTTGATTATCTCTATAATATAAATGATATATTGATCTCTGAAAACAATATTATTTAATAAACAACACTGTTTTTACTATCATCTCGATGTGAAATAAATAGAGTTCAAGTTTGGTGAACTATTTCTACGACAATAACACTAGTGTTCGTCTGTATAGTCATAAATTGCGGACTGCCGTTAGTTGGACAACTAGTGGAAACCGGAAAAGATCGGATAGTTGTTTCGTTCTAATGTGAACCCAGGGCACTCACCGTTGGAGGCCTGAGCTCAACCTCCCGATCACTGAGTTGGCATAGAGTGGCTGTGATTCCCAACTTCACTAAACCTTATCAGGAATGAAACAAGCATCGTTAATAGGAATGGATTATAGTTTTGCAATACCACACATCAACCGGAGTTGAGGATGTGAACTACTGGATCTCAACCCAGTGATATGGGAGTTAAGTTCTCGGCTAGAGGCCTGAAGTTTAATCCCCTGTTGTGTTGTAGGTGTGCACTGTGAAAGTTTTGTACTAGGTTTCAACAGCTATCCGGTGCACTTCTAGTTCCCAGTGGTTGCTATATATATAGTCACCAATTATGAATAAAACTGAAACTTTATTTTATTTTGGAATAGAAATAATGAGGTTGGTTGTATGCTATTAGAACATGAAATATTGACCCGTGGAACTACCAACCTCTATCAACAAAGGTATATTCAGCCATCACCTAACCCAGAGTAGAAATGGTAGTCGCAAACACAGAGCTACTAAGTAAAGAAAACTACCAAAAAAAATCCTTCCCTACTACAATACTTTAAATTGCCAATGAATGATCTAAGCGTCAAGAACTACCTACTTAGTATAATATTAGAAGACAGTAAAAACCCAGGGCTTGATGCTACTCACCAACTACTTTCTCGCAAGTACATTCAGGGATAATACAAATGAGTCTCTTAGGTTTTAAAGCTTACCCATACTAATCATGGCATAAACGTGAGTTTGGGGAGCTTATAACGAGTTGAACCGACATAATAGCAACCTGAACTAAATATCATAACCGGTTGGGGTAAGTCACCAGATACTTTTAACGTTCCACGATTTTTGCGAAATCATATTGCGAATCGGCCAGACACGCTGACGTCACATGCTTAGTCACCACACCTTGAGGTCGCATGCTAGGTCGGGTGAAAAGATGTGACACAAAATGATGAAGCCCGTTAAAGGCCTATATGCTCAGTTTCCATCCACGGACAAATGGTGCCAATTCACTACACACGCCATTATCACTACATCGTAGCAAACAAGCTAGCATATAATAGAACAAATACCACGCCCCACAAGAATCCGACAAAAGCTCCCGTTATTCCCGGCAGATAATGCAACGTTCTACGCATAAAATGCATCCCACATAAAAATCATTGAAACAGATGACATGAACTGTTTATTAATGTTAACTAAGATATGATATCAAAACAAAAACCTCAGTGCATAGATGAGAAGTAGGAGAGAGAAGCAACAGGATCGGGTATTATTGTTGCTGAATTTGGTTTCCAGTTCGCTGGACAAACTTCGCCATGATTCTCAAAGAAAATAAAAGCATCCAAAAGACGAATCGCCTCATCAACTGATCTCCCTACAGGGCGATCGTTAACAGTAATTTGACGTAAAATCCCTTTGCGGTCAATGAGGAACATACCTCTAAAAACAAGCAAATAAATACGGGGTTAGTTTATGGGTACAGACTCAGGATATGGTTCGTCTTTATGCAAGTACCGCCTGTGTGACATTTGCAATATGATAAATATAGCAGAGATGTGTTCATGAATTAACAAAACGAACCTGAATGCATGACCTTCCTGTTCGTCAAGAACCTCGTACGCTCGTGATATCCTTAGGTTTTTATCGGACAGCAAAGGTATATTCATTTGTCCCAAACCACCAGCTTTGCGATCCAATTTCGTCCATGCCAAATGAGCATAGACTGAGTCAGTTGAGCATGCGATTACTTGACATTCTCTAGATTGGAACTCAGCAGCTCTTTCACTAAATGCAATTAATTCCGTTGGACAAACAAAAGTGCTGAAAAGAAAACATGGGTGTTAATTTAATTACGTGAAGTATTGTAAAATTGTTGAGAAATGAACAGTACATTTAACTTACAAGTCAAGTGGATAAAATACCAGTAACACATATTTTCCTTGAAATTGACTCAAACTAATTGGACGCAATTCCGTGCCAACAACAGCAGTACCTTCAAAATTAGGAGCAGGTTGATTTGGTAATAACATATTTGTTTAAATAAAATATCCCAAATGTACGGAGACCCAAGTAAATTATGAAGATGAGATCAATGCGTCTTTTATATTTAAACATTTCATTCGTAAGGGGGAAAACCATGGAAAGCGTGGCCAGCCATACAGATATGTCTAACTCTCAATGCAAGCTATTGGTTCGATTCAAATCAACCAATCAACATTCTGACCGTAACCAAATAACCTTGAGCAACCTAACGTGATTGATTGATTGAATTTTCTATCTCAATCGATTAAAGCTTATGTTTAGTCCAGTGGTGTCTCTGTCGCCTCAAGCACAGTGACCTTCATAACCTTATCTTAACATATTGAGAGCGTTTTTGGGTTATCTAAGATGTATCATTTGGTAACTTTGCTGTCAAAATTACGCTTCGTCTATTACGAAACATTAATTTGCAATGGAAAGTACTTGATCAGTCGGCATAGTTAATGGTTATATTAAAAAACTAGTTTCTCACAAATAATCTTTTCTGTTGTTGAAATATTGGATCAAACCGGGTTTTTTTTTTTACTTCGATTACAAGTAGATTCAATATTATTTACAGCTTACATACTTACTTACACCTGTTACTCTCAATGGAACATAGGCCGCCGACCAGCATTCTCTAACTCACTCTGTCCTGGGCCTTCCTTTCTAGTTTTATCCAATTGTTGTCCATTCTTCTCATGTCTGTCTCCATTTCTTGGCGATTATTTACAGCAGTTACGTCAAATTATTAATTTTTAGCAAAGCAAAATAGGATTAGTGGAATAAGGTGAAATTATTTGATTACAAGTCTTTCCATTACCTATTAGCACCTTAAATTGTACACACAGATGGTAATCGTGATAAAGTTCCATAAACCAGAAATAACCATGGTACCAATGATTAAAACACATTATCCATGTGTTAAAAATACTTTGAGTAATTATACTGTTTATTCTTTGAGAACCATACGACACTATACCAAAGGATGGTAAATTGTTTTTATTCAGTAGGCAAAAATAAACGAACACCTTTGGAGTTGGAAAAGAGGAATGTAGAAGAAATGCAGATGACTAATAAATTAAATTCAGAAACAATCTATCCATTGCGTGATTATGAAAATACTGTTCTGAATAATTACAAACTACAAAATATGGTTGCTGAATGCTCCTGTGTTTTCAATGGTTCTTTTCCATCTGACAAAAGTTTGTGATGGAAATCATCGTTATACTTAAGAAATTTAATCTCCCTTCAAGAACCTTCATTTATCAGTTATATAATATACCCTTGTGAGCCAGGGTAATTTTAAATTGGTTTTCAGGAGAACTAGACACCGTCTGGACTTTCATATGACGACCCAGACAGTACAGCTCAATCTCGTTTAACAGGAGGGCTGGACGTCGCCCAGGCTTAAAATTTGTAGCCCAAATAGTACTGCTCAATCATGTTTCCAGGGGAACCAGACACCACCCAGGCTTAAACTTTATAACCCGAGCAGTATGGCTCAATCCCGCTTCACGGGAGGACCAGGCACTATATAGGCTTTAGCGCTACAATCTGAATAGTACAGCTCAATCCTGTGGCGCAGCCACACAGGTACCAATCACCCTAGTGGACCACTGCAAGCGCCATAGTATATTAATATTTGATATTCGGAGCCAATCTCTCGTAAATTGAGGCACCCATCCCTGTTCATTATCAAAAAATAGAGTTACTAAAATCAAACAAGTATTTGAAGTAATAAGCTCCCTTTCTAAATTTTACTGGAACAATAACAAGACGGAATTGATGCATTTACATCAAACGTTTCGAACAATCCAGCCACACATTTACTTGTCAAGGCATTTTATATGAAAATTAAGAAAGGTCAAATAAAGTTCAAGTAGACAAAATGATAATTGTAAATAAAGAATGAAGGTTAACACTCTATGTAAAGAATAAGAAATTGTCTCATTACCCTAGATTATAAAATGACTTGAGGATTACGAGGGCGAATTCAAGGTTACGACGAATTATTTGTGTACATATAATGAGTGTTTGAATTTACGAATAGACAAGGCTTCTACAAGCCTAAGAATTCGTCGTTGACAAATTTTGTGCGTTTTCAAAGATGTACTGATGTCAATTCTATGTCCCATTTCAGTTATGTACTTTACTATCGATGAACATGGTTTTCTACTCCCCATCTTTATCGGAACATTTGACACTAAATGGTTTTAAAGCCATCTAAACATATGTTCCATAACCTTGGATTGAATTGTTTGATTACTCTTCCCCATGTATGTGTGTCCACAAAAACATGTAAATTGGTAAATACGATATTATGTAACGTAGTCATTCGTGGAATGTCTAGACCGAGTTTGGTTCTTTCAACCACAACCAGTATAGCAGTATATGTTTTCTCGTTGACTGCTTTTAGTTTATCTTAAAATCATGCTGTTTGATTCATGACTAAATGGTAGAGATATAAGCACTTTTCTTCGCAGCAGAATGTTATAACTTGTGGCCCTGTGCCTTATTAAGTTATAACGTGATGATACCACCAATTAAAAAACAGTGATTCGTCAACCGAACTAATAGTGTGTAAACCCGTACGAGCAGTCTAGAGTCCTTATCAGTCCTTCCTGCCTAGTCCTGCCTGTTGAGTGCAGAACACCAATCTAAGCCTCTGTGATATGAATCATGTATTTAAAACATACCGGGTTTATATACAAACCAAACAGACCACATTATACCATAAAATAGAAAACAAAACTTGTACAAGATCTAACCAAATGTGTCTGTGAATGTGAGAGACTGTAATTGATAAACTGGTAATAACTCAAGAATGGTAAATCGCGTATAATAATAGTCTATAGGTCAAAATAAAGCTTGTAATAGAAGGAACATGAATATACATAATTTAGCTACTTGACAATTATACAATAGAAATATATGTATAGTATTAGTCCATAAATAGGTTCTAACATTCAACATTAATTATTCTGATCGGGATATAACACAAAATTAATGAGGAGTTTCGGTGTTGACTAATTTTTGCACTTATTCATAAAGTTTGATGGATAATTGTTCAATATCAGTGTATCAATCAAGAGTTTCACATCTTCAAATATATCTATAGTACATATTCTTTGAGTCCATTTGAAGAAGCATTTTACCAAGCCTATCTTGTATTGAAATGAATAGAAACTGTAGTAATTCAAATATTACTCAATCAAGGTTGGTTTTCCTAATACTAACTTGTATGAATTGGAAGTTATACTTTGTCAGCTTTCATCAGTCATCAATCAAAATTTCTTGAGTTTCCATTTGCTTACTTACTTTCTTATTTACACCTGTTGCCCCAAATGGAGCATAGGTCGCCGATCAGAGTTCTCCAACTCACTCTGTCCTAAGCCTTCCTTTCTAGTTCTATCCAATTGTTGTTCATTCTTCTCATGTCTATCTCCATTTCTCGGCATAATGTGTTCTTTGGTTTTCCTTTTCTCTCTTGATTGGGAGGTCCGTGGGTGCTACTTCGATTTTGGATGAGTTCAATGGGACTTATCGATTCAAGAGTTCCTTAAAGTGCTCTGCCCATCTGTTTCACTGTTCTTCAAGACATGGCTATTTCTGAAACTGCGATAAAAATTATTTTATGGTCATATGTTCTATAAATAGACCTCGGTGAACATATTTTTTCCATTGCCTCATACACTTGTCAGCTATTATTATAATCATTAGTATTATTATCATTAATATTATGGTTACTTCACTAGTGTTTTTCTTTAGTAATTGACATCAGTTTCATCATTTCTGTCTACCGTAATCATAATAATTTGTACATGTTTCTTTTATCCGATCACATCATGATCTCTTTTCCATTTAATCCGTTCTATCCATTGAACCTGCATGAATTTTAGAAGTATTTATAGTTATTTCTTTTCACTAGTGAACGAGAAAGTTATTGTATATAGCCTATTATAGTCCTCTTTTATGCCTCCATATGAAAGTTAAATTGCCTAACCTGGCTAATTTAATGTATACATATTAGTTCACTTACTTCTGTGGGGTTAGATATGTAGACCGTTCGTTATGTCTACTTCGACAACATTTATCACCATTGCGTATCGATAGGTAGCGCAGATCAATTACGCTTTATGTTCTGCCCTATGTAGTAGATTATGAGCTTTTAGATTTGAAACGACGGGATGAATAGTTAAAATTTCATTCTTATGCAACATTAATTACTCAATATTATATCTCTTTTTATTCAGTATAACATTGATTTTCGCCTGTACCAGTCTTTCATATTCTTACATTGAGTAGTGATAATTATGGTAATTCCTTGTTTCAAATATTATTACTAAGCGTCGAGGCTATAACAAGATTCAAAAATATTTTATTTAGACAGTTAGATTCCCGTGGTCTCAATAGTTCACTTGCCTAAAAGAACCAAAATTCGCCTCTGTTATCTACGGGACCTCAGTGTTACTGCTTACACTTGGAAACAGGAACCACTGCAATTCCTGCGACTCAAAGTAAGAACACTAAATACTAATCCAATAAATATTTATTGGCTAACCAATAACATGTCCCCAAACAAGTTCAAAAGTTACATAGTTCTTAAGTTGAAATCCAGTCAGTTATGTACTAATTTTTATACACACTTAGTATCACTGCATAGGAGGTGGGTACTATTAAAACATGTAAAACTGTGATCACGGACTTACGAATTTGAACCTACCTCATGTAATTTTTTCACCTAATTAATATCCCATTCCTCAATATCCTATAATCAATCACATGTTATAGCATTGTCATTTATAGCATGTCAACGATAGTACCTGGTTTATGATTGTCAGCTATGATTAAATCCCATCCACAAGTCTACATACTGCTCACTATTTGGACTTTGGAAAATTTTCTTTCTAGTTTTATTATGAAGATTGTACAATTTAAAGCGTGATTCTCACTATAAAGAAGGTTATCGAAATTTTAAAGTGTTTATTTATCAGGTAGATAAGAATTTTTGTTACTGTCTTGTAAAGTTATGAAATTAAGACAGATCCTTTATGTATGCATCAATAGAACACCTTTGTTCATTTGTGTTTTTTTCTTCTTCACACAGCTACTCCATTAACTCCCACCAGACATTCATTAAAAAATCTTGATGACGATCCAGAGAAAAGAAAACGACAACAAAAGTTATACGACGACGAATTCAAAAATATAAATGGAGAACCAATGCCATTGGATCCCAGGAAACCAACTACACAGTTTAATTATGGCATATTACAACATCCAGATGAATATAATTATTTAGCTGAAGCAGAAAAACAAAAACCAACTATAGATTTTGCATCAGAATTATCTTATGATAGCAGTCTTTATGGTAAAATTAGTCAAGGTTCCGCTCGAAAACAACCATCAATTAAGCATTATGATAAGTATAAAGATAAAAGTAAGCTGATAATTTTTGCTTACATACGTATTACAATTATTATTATTACTATAATGTTACTTATTCTGCTTTAGGTGATTGGAGAGAATGGATGAGTAGTCTTGAAACATAGTACTGTGAGAGTTGATACATGACAATCAAAATAATCTGTATTAACAAAGGAAATGATGAACTCCATGTTGTACAAAATGTTACTAACCTGTTTTGTTATATGGCTAAGATATTCACACTTTAAATGGCATCATATTGGAAATAAACATTTAGGTTACTATTCTATCATATGCTGTAGATTATAATCTATCTATCTAGCTCAGATAATATAAGTTAGTTACTTCATGGTTTGTTATCACAGCTTATCTGCCGTAGCCCTTGTTTCAATTGATTTCCATGTTAGCCAACACACTATGGCCAGGCTTGTCCTACATGAAACTTGTTAAAACCACAGCCAATTTACCGTATCCGTAATGTATGCAAAAGATCATTTGAATTGTACTTATTCGAGGATTTTCTCATACATCTATTAAGTTGAGAAATATTACAAGGGATATTGGTAATTAAGATGTGACTGAAACATCTTATACCACTAGAAATAATACAGGAATGGTTGAAGTTACCAGTAGTTTTATAAATATGGATACATCTTAGTAATTAGTCTTAAATAGGTCAAAACTGATATTTCGTGTTTATTCTTAAGCTTCAATCAAAGTTAAAGTAGTGGTGCGGATCCTCTAAGTACCCACCTCGCCATTTTGGATGATTTATTGACCAAGTTATACTACTAATTGTAAACACTTATTCATTAACTTCTGATATAGCAGTAACTGTTTGTTGACAACTCATCAGTTCCTGATCAATTCTATTAGAATAATCAGACGGCATACAAATTAAAATGATTCTGTAAAAATTCAAAGGATTATATATTTTAAAGTCATGTTTTCTATGGTGGTCTAGATTCAATTGACTCATGATCTAAATCATTGAAATGACCATAATATCCACAAAAAACCCTTCTGATGTGAATCAACATATGATCACTAGTGACTGGCTTCAAGAAGTATTTCCTGGAGTTCTAGTGAGAAGTTGTGACCAGTGAAGTTCAACTGGATTCGTTATGTGATAGTAACTCACGGATGACAATGGTGGATGTGTGGCTCAATTTCGTGGATTGGTTGAAGTTAGACATTAACACCGTTGGATACCGGCCGACTGAGTGGTCTAGTGGCTAAGCACTCACGCGCGAGACTGATATTAATTTCAGTTGGGGATCGGTCCAATGTTTTAGTAAATCAATTGTTTTCTATTTTTTATGACTTCAGTAAATTGAGTTTCGTACAAAATAATTATTGATTAATCTCAATTTTAGATTGTTCTCAGTGAAATTTTTACTCAGAATCTAATTAGTAATCAAGGTCAATATTAATAAGTAGAAAAAAGTAACTGTAGATTAGTCTCATTTGAGAACAATTAAAAACCAAGGAGTCTTCGTCACTATACATAGAGGTTCGGGGGTCGTCGGCATGTACTGTTCAAGAGTCCTATACTAGAATGAAACAGCTGTCCTGTGTTTTCTAGTTTTCAATGATCCAATTGATGTTCTTGACAAAATACCTTATCTAAGAATCAAACTCAATCTACTGAGGAATTTAGATCTCGGTTTGTTTTTAACGTCTAGTAAAAACTGACATCAGTTTTCTTCTTGAATAATTTCCATTGAGTTGTATACTTCTGTGTGCAATTTTCTAATAGAGAAGATTCTGTTGTTGCTAGTTAGAGGAAACTCAATTGTGTATAAGTTGTTCAAACAGCTGATCTTCCTATTTATAATCCATTTATTAATTATTATCAAAAGGGGTTTTGTGGATATTATAGTAACTTTTAATGGTTGAGATCATGAGTCAATCGAAGCTGAACCACCATGAAAAACCTGGAAACCCTGTTTGACGGCCGTTTCGCCCTAGTGCGAGACTCCTCAGAAGTACGCATCCAGGATCCCGTCTCGCGAGATTCAAATCCAGGATCTATCAGTCTCATGCGCGAGCGCTTAACAATGAACAATTATCAGTTTAGGAAATACATTTTTATGACACATTTTATAATCATATCATTTTCTGTTACAGTAAAAATAAGTTGTTGCTTTCTTATCATTATATCTGATACCTGACAATGTACTAACTTGAACATTAATTCAAAGGTACTTGAACTCTAATACAAAATACGTAATCACTTAGATCGCATATTTCAAGGTTATTATTGGCACGTCGATTGAATCGTCATACCATACTTTTTTTATGTAAATCAAAATACATAACACCAAATTAAGTTATATAATTCTGATAATAGATCAATAAACTCTCAAAGTTCAATGTAGGCAAGTAAAACACTATAGTCATTTTAAAGTTTGACCATGTTGGAATAAATTATATTCATCAAATGAGATTATTTGGTAAGGGTAATTATCGTAATAAACTGTGCACACTGATGACTTGGATGGAGATAAAACTTACTGAATTGTCTATCATAAAATGTGATTTGAAGAATTAACCAAATTGATTGTATGATGGTTGATCATCATTGACACTAGATGTAAATTGCATTGTATCACAAACTGACTGTTCAGTTGTTCTATTTTTAATAACACTCAATTGATGACGATTATCGTTGAAATATAGATATTCAATTATCCCATTATTAAAGTGATAACTTCTCAGAATTCGAAGTTGTGTGGCAGATTCTCATCTCGCAGAAAGGTTCATTTATCTCAAAACTAAAAGTACGCCTTGCTGACTGGTACCATAGTTTCCACCTGACTATTTCAAGCACTCAAAATCAAATTATTTTCACTATCAAGATGACAGACTAAAAATCAATTTTACTCTTCTAAAGTAACTTGATTAAAACATTTACGGACGATTTAGTCCTGAGACCATTCAACTTTCAACCATTTGGTTACAAGTTCTAAGTATAATTCACTTATTTTAACTTAGACAATCGCAATTAGAATCACTACCCCATAGATATATGTACACGAAGAGCGCTTAATTAGTAACTTGTGCTAATAGATTCTCGTTAATTCCTTTGAAATTAGAATATGATTAGAAAATGGGTTTCGATAAGTCTATTTCGTAGATTGTTTGCCAATTATTGGTCGAATCCTGATGAGAGACAAACATTTAACCGTTGAACTTTGATAACTAGTCTTACCATTAGTAATTGTAAATTTACGCCAATGTTCATCCACAAATAGATTTATATTAGACATATGGCTAGATCTAAGAACACATATACATATACACAATGGTTGACATTTTCATTATGAATAATTTTTAACCAAGGTAATGTTAGGCTAATCCATTTTATCAAATGAATTCTGTTAAATTAATAAATGTTTGTCCTCGGGTGAAAAAAACACCCTATGGACAAACTAGTTAGTTTATGTTATTTGAATTAATTATGCTTTGAGGAATATCATCAGACTGAACTAATTCACACATTATAATATCAAACAAATTGTCACCTTAATCATATATTGAGTAATTTGTTATAACTTGTCAGTTCAATGCTGCTTGTTTTGGGGTTAATAAATCTTCACTTATACCAGTCTTTGTGTTCTTACTTTCGCGTCGTGGGAATTGTAGAAGTTCTTCGTTTCGAGTATAAGTGATAAGCGTTTCCGACGTAACAATCATCGACGACCAAAACAAGCAGCATTCAACTGATAGGTTATAACAATTGGCGACGGGGTTAAAAAAATAGTGAACCCTCAATCTTCAAATTAACGAATCTATGTCAACCTGTAATTGAACAAAATCCAGTGTAATTATTTCGAGCAATCAGCATACAGGGTTCTCACCGCTGTCCTTGAATGACATTGATTGTTAATTAATCAAACAGTATTTTTCATTACCGTGCTGATTCAGAAAATAGGTATCTGTTCTGATCAGTCACAGTTGCTATTTGAGCGACAACAGCAGCCTTTCAAAAAGAGCCAGTTGAATGTTTTAGACATTTTACGCACATGGCTGCTAAATCATCCATGTTTTGGAGATGTGACAGAAGTTGATAAATTAATTTCCAATTTGCATACAGAGCTGGAAATGACTTCAGCACTTATGGACGTGTCGATGAAAGCCTCCGTGAATCCTTGATAAGTGGTAATATAAACGAAGTAGTAGCAGTTATTCATGATCATCCCAGTGGTCCAGAAATGTCCATTTCAGAGACATGCCCTATCGTGGGTTCAAATCCCATCCCCGTCGCCAATTGTTATAACCTATCAGTTGAATGCAGCTTGTTCTGGTTGTCGCTGATTGTTACGTCGGAAACGCTTATCACTTATACTCTAAATGAAGGACTTCTGCAATCCCCATGACGCGAAAGTAAGAACACAAAGACTGGTATAAGTGAAGATTTATTAACCCGAAAACACGATGATAACGACCATCTAAGTCGAAAGACACACTCATTTATATATTGATTGTACACCCATTTTGATCAATAATTAGGATGGAATCACATATATGAAAAAAAACTTAGAGTTATAACATATCATATGCTGAGTATAGTTCATGTCAATGGAATACAAGAACATCGCATATTATACAGAATAAAATATCATACGAGACAATAAAACAACTACTACATTGAGTAATCATTAAATTGAGTCAAAACAGAAGTACTGTTGAAAAAAAACTCATAATGAGTAAATCAATCGAATTTTGACTTTTCTTCCCTTCATAGCATAGTTACTTATTAATAGTTGGTGATTACATTCTGTGGGAGTTTGTTTGTCTTAGTAGAAAATGATCACTCGATTAGTTCGTTACATCTGATAATCAGGTGACTTTATCTCTGATGCTATGAAGTGGATTAATCCACATGCTGAGTATAGAAATTACTGATCAATCAGGTTTTAATTGAATAGTACTATTTTAATCCACTAAAAAGTGGTTATATCATAAGTATCAACTGCTTCCCTTCTGACATATTTGAACTTACTAGATTACTTATTTCATATGAGAAGTGAAAGAATTTATCTCAACGTCAATTCCTCCATAAGCACGATTATAATATTATTAAATGAATTTTGTAAAAGATTGAAGTCAATCTGTGACATATTCTACATTTAAAACAATTAATCCCTTTGATAAATTTCTATAATGCAATGAGAAGACGAAGGTTATCAGAATTATGTGATAATATATTTGTGAAATACATTTCGAACGATCTGACCACACATCTATACTTGTTAAGTCTGTGACCAGTGAAACTAATCCGTGTCGGTTACAAACAGGTATCTACCTCAGTACAATGGAAGATCGTCGAGAAACTTCGTGGATTGGTTGAGATTAGACATTAACACCATTTGATGCCGGCTTAGTTGTCCAGTAGGTTAAGCATTCGCGCGCGAGACTGAAGGCCCTGGGTTCAAATCCTGCGAGCGGGATCGTGGATGAGCACTGCCGAGGAGTCCTACAATAGGCTAAAACGGCCGTCTAGTGCTTTCAGGCTTTCAGTGGTGCTCTAACATCAATCCATTCATGATCTCAATCAAAAACTTAACAATCTCCTCAACCCCTAAACTGAACATTTTTATATGAAAACTGAAAAGTCAACTAGACAAATAAATAAAGTACACAAAAACGATGTGATAACCACTCTGGATAATAAATCAGTATTACCAGGGTAGGGTTAAGGGTAAAAAAAGATTGTTTTTGAATACATAAAGAGGGTTTCAGTTTCTGTACTATACGTCCTTGGAGGCTTTCGTGTAACACTACAATTGCTGATTTGATATCGACCTTATGACCAATCTTAACAAAATGTTTCGTAATGGAAGATGTCTGTCTATCCTGTGAACTTATTTAACCATTAGGATTCATTTGTTTTTGCAGCCATTTGGGTATGTGTTCCACCACCCTTAATTGCTCCTCCCTATGTACATGTTCCGCACGTATATGTAAATTGATAGACACAATGGGATGTGCTGTTTGAGTTTTGGTGAAACATAGACTTTGTCTTTTCAATAATGACTATTTGGGTTGCATAAAATGTCCTGTTGATGGCTAATTTCAATAACCGTTTCAGCATGAGACTATTTGAGTAGCCTCTAAATGGTAAAATAATGTAAACTGTCTTTTTGGGTGCCAGAAGCGTCATAGGTCTAGCCGTATTGCAAACATTCCAGCGGTTTATGAACTTCAAAGAATAACAGTTAATCATTAACGTTTTAGTCAATAGCTTCGTCTCTACTTCTGTAGTATCGCTAGTACAAGTATTATTGATTCTATTGAATAAGCCTTTTGTTAATCCACGTTTGTAATGAATTGGGTAGTCACTATAGAAATTAAGATATTACCCTGTCCATGTCGGCTTTGAATGGAACCATCATCTCTCCTACTAATCAGTACGTCTAGAAAAGGAAGTTTGTTATTCTTCTCTTTTTCACATGTAAGAAAAATATGCCTTTGACTTGTGTTAAGTTCTTCTGACAAGCGGTTCACATCATCACGTTTATCCCCTATGATTATGATGTCATCAACGTGGCGTTTATACAGACATATCTTTTGAATTGAGTCTTCAGCTAGATTTTCAACATATCTCATAAACACATCAGCCAGAAATGATTCTACAGGGATACCCATAGCTACGCCATCGATTTTTCGAAAGTGCTCACCCTTAAAAGTGAATTTTACATTGTCAGTACATACTAATAATAAATCTTTAAGAGTTTTAACAGGAAATGACAATGGAAGGTTATTCAATGAGATATAGTCACATAAAATATCAATAGTTTTCCAAACAGGTACATTTGTAAATAAAGTGTTCACATTAAGGGAGTACATTGTCTTTGTTTTTTATATTCATATTCATTATGCACTTAATCCAAATGAATCAATCAAGGAATAATTACAAAAGTGATTTCGGATAGGGTTTAACACCTTTATCGGCCAGTTTTCAAGGTTGTATGTAGGTGATCAACACAGTGATAGAATTGAACGTAATGGGGTATTAGGCTTATGAATTTTTGGTAATCTATATAAATTAGGATACACTGAACCCATAGATTTAATTGAATTAAACTCATCCTTGTCAATAGCATTCATGTTTAATAATTTCATTAGATTCGAGTTTACTTTCTTTTTTAATAAAACTACCATTGTTTCTTGAGAGCTATGGTCATGTACTTAGGTCTCCACGATCACACTTCACTCAGTTTTCTTATCTAGCCCCTCAAGAAATATCCCTCCACAGAATGGATCACCTCTCTCATACCTATAATAGCACTCCAGATTACCTTGTTTGCAATTATTATTGTATGGGGCTTCACTTCAGTGAACATCTATTATGGTGTTTGAAATCTTCTGGTTTAGTCTCAGTGATCTTGAGTGCTGTTAGAGGTCAAGACCACTGAGACTAAACCAGGAGATTTCAAACACCATAATAGATTTTCACTGAAGTGAAGCCTCATACAATAATAATTGCAAACAAGGTAATCTAGAGTGCTATTATAGGTATGAGAGAGATAGTTCATTTTGTTCTACTTTACGGCTGCGAAACGTGGCCATTAAGAGCAGAAGATACTCGTAAACCACTAGTATTTGACCACAGATGCCTCAGAAATATTGCTGGCATCTGCTGGGATCACCGGGTAAGTAATAGTGAGGTTAGACTCAGGGTATTAAGAAATGATGATAAATCAGTTGATGAAGTTGTGAATCTTCATCGACTGAGATAGTTGGGCCAATTTGTCACCTATGCCTGAACACCGATTACCACGATGCACGATGCTAAGTGGTGTTGGGATGGTTGGAAGAAAGTTAGAGGCGGTCAAAACAAAACGTGGAATCAGTGCTTAAAGTCACTAACTTCTAGTCTGAGTCATGTTGGTAGATGCAGACTTCCTGGTTGGGGTCAGCATGACTATCGTAACCAATGGTTTGAGACTGTGTGTGACATGGCTCAGAATCGATCACAATGGCGTGGGTGTATACACTTTCTATCTTCCTTTAAACTATGAGATTAAAATCGCTTCATATCTTACTTTCTATGAACTAATTCTTTCTTGCTGTACTATATCCTTATATGCAATCTTTCTTTTATATATTACCACCATTGAATTAACTACATCTATGAATTCGGTGTTCATGTTGTTGTGCTAATGAGTGAGGTATGGCAACTTGAACCGATGTATATGTGTGCCTGGTCCCATGTTGTAACTAATTGACTGACTAGTTTAGTCTCAGGTGCGGTTATGGATGTATTTTGAAAAGAAGTCTCAAACAAAAAGTTGTCTAACATTCACCAATTTTCAATGTGGCACCTTAACTGAGACGAATTTTTGTTGAAAGAAAATCTTGAATTAGAGCATTATCAAGGACTGTATTCAATAAATCGATATAACTTGAATGGTTTTGATCAAGATTTGAAAAGTATATAACTGATATTCTGTTCTATACAATTTCGAATAGCATGTAGATGAATCCAAATAATGAATGTTAACAGGAATGAGTTCTAAGTGTTTAGTATTGTTTTTGTTTTTTTCAGTTCAGTTCATTCTTTCATATTAACTTGATAATTTACTGTTGTCTTTCACTATTTCAGTTTTGGGGTTTAACGTTAATTCATTCTATTTCAACATAATTGTTCAAGGATAAAATCAAATGACTTCAAATTACTACCTAATAATGATTTTGTTATTTTCATAGTAAAAATATAAAGTAGTGGAGGGAGTCAATCAGAATTGAAGGGATTACATTTAAGTATTTATGTACATTTTAAGGATAAGTGGCTTTTATATAAAGATTTTACATAACACAAGAATCAATTAGTTTCCTCTTTGTTTCTAGTAAACTATTAGTTTTTGATTGACATCATGAACCGATTGATGTTAGATCACCATTGAAAATCTGGAAGCAGTGGATGACCTCAATAAAAAACTTAATAATCTGCACAACCCCTATACTGATAATTACCACGTGCTCACTAGTGAATAGCTTCGTGAGGAAATTCTCGGAGTTCTAGTGAGAAGCCGTGACCAGTGGAGCTAATCCGTATCAAGTAGAGACAGGCATCTATCTCAGTACAATGAAAGATGGTCACTCAATTTCGTGGATTGGTTGAGGTTAGACATTAACACCATTGGATGGCGGCTTAGTAGTCCAATAGATTAGGCATTTGCGCACAAAACGGAGGCCTTGGGTTCGAATCCCGCGGGGGATCGTGGATGCGCACTGCTGAGGAGTCTCACAGTAGGCCGAAATGGCCGTCCAATGCTTCAAAGTTCTTAATGGTAGTCTGACATCAGTCGGTTCATGATCTCAATCAAAAATCTAGCATGAATAGACCTACGCTTAGAATAACTATGTTATCTCATGAAAGTTCTGGAATACTAAGACCGGAAAACTGGTAATAAACTTTGAAAAGCCAATAAATTTCTTTAAAGACAAACAAACTAATTTGTTTTGAAATACTTTTGGTTTCTACGAACTTATTGCTCAGTGACTAAAAAATCCTTTCAAAATCAAGGAGCCAATTTGGGAATTGCTAAATCTCCTCCTTATACTATACTTTTATCTCATTAACCAATAAGTATATGATTATTATTTTACCATAGTGTTTTGTTTGGAAGGATTCGTACTATTTGAAAATATTTCTCTCATTCTACTCACTGCGAGACTGGAACATTTTAAATTCAATCTTGTAAGTGAATGTGAACGATAAGAGAAGTTGAAAACTAGGATGAAATAGTTTTTCAGTGTTCCTTGCTTTTTCATTTTCATCTTACGTCAGTATCAGTTTATGATAAGCAAAATATTGCCATAGTTTCTTAACTTTGAGTAAGAATCCAAGCTTATATTGAGTTGAGAGTTATGGATTAGGCAGGACTTATCTTTCTTTGTATATTTCAAACGTAGAACCTGATAAACCACATCGTCATCCACCGCCACCTCAACCTACTGATCATGACCAAACAAAACGATTAGACGATAAACCAAGCCCAAAAGCAGACAGAAGATCAGGTCGTGGAATGGTTTCAGGTTAGTAATTTTTTAATACCTTGATGTCCTTTCAAACTTAATTATTGTTTGTTTGTTTTTTGGAAAAAAGCTACGAGGTTTCAGTTATATTTTACTGATGGGTACTCGTAATTATATCTAAAACAGCAGGGGGAAAAACCTTAGATGAGGCTGGATTCGGGGTTATTGCTGGTGATTTTCTCGGTTTTACAATCCCTTATGATAATTTATAGAATGAAAGCTTAGTCAACTAAGTTCGTGCCTAGTTTTAAGACAAAGCAAAAAGACATAAAATGCTGTGTCCAACTCCAAAGTCATGTTACATTCATTAACACTAATGGATAAGTACTTGCGTAAGCATCGGGGGTTAACATAACTGATCCTTTTTGGCATCCGATAATGGGATGAGGGTTTGTTGCGTTTGCGAAACCCCTCCTTATGACCTGTTACTCTACATTTTGCTCATTTATATTTCTTGAAAGGCAGGAACGGGAGAAATGCCATGCGCCACAGTTCCAATAAGTAGTGGAAGACCTTCTGATTAGCTCTCTATAGCACATACACGTGTGTGTGTGCTAAGAATCGTAGACTCGATGGTTTTTTCTTCAGTTGAATTGTTATCCTCCTCAACAGTGCTCATCTACGGTCCCGTACGTAGGTTTCGAACCCATGACCTTCGGTCTCACGAGCGAGTGCTTAACCTCTAGACCACTGAGCCGGCACCTAACGGTTTCATTGAAATTTTGTTGATATAAGACAGATCCGATTTTTATCCGCTGTTATGGTTTTAGACATAACTAACACTGTCATATAGTTTATAGTATGTTTTGTGAACAATCATTATTTGAATATTTCATGAGACATGTTCACCTGATTTTGTATGTTTCAAGAATATCTTGCATATATTTTTGTAATAATCACACTATATTCTAAACAAAAATCAATGTGTTGGTTTACACTTAACTCAATTGTTTTGTCAAAGATTCGATAGAATTAACCTTCTCAGTAAACTGTTCACTTGATTATGCGGGTAGATTTGCTGAATTCATTGAATAGCAAAAACCACTGAATAACTGTTTAATTCTAATTTAAGACCTTTCTGCATAGCTCTGTTTAAAGTAATCAATGTTTCTAGTTGTATGAAAGCGGTATCGTTATTAAAACAGGAAATGAGCTTCATATAAACTGAAAGGCATAATCAGCATTTCGTTAATTGATGAAAGATCATATAATACCGATAATCATAATTATGAGATATATGAAATGATTAAATCTAAGAACTCTAAAACCAAATCACATTTCTTAGATCTTAGAAATAATTTTCTGATTTGATATTTTTTTTAGTTGATGAAAATTATTATGTAAATGTACCTGGTTCAGGTCCACCAGTTATTCGTCCACCATACAATGGACACAAGAGATCACTTCAAGATTTAAGTGAACGTTCCGGCCCTCATAGTGCTTATGATCCTAGATTGGGCGATACAGTTATTCATCCAAGTAAACCTAGAACCAGTGATAGAATATCAGATCAAATGCCTGATTATTATGATCAATATACATCGGATGAAAGTGATTATGATGATTCAGGAGAATCGGATGAAGAACTTAAACCACCAGCATTACGTACAATAACTCAGACAAGGAGACGATCTGAACCAGAACCTTCGAGTATGTAAATTTCTAGTTACACAATTACTAATATAGAATATTTTTGGTTATTTATGAAACTCAATAGCGTCAAATTTTACAAAGTATTCTATAACAGAGTAGGATATTATGCATGAAAGAATACTGGGGCTCAAGATCTATAAGGAGATAAAAAATGAATATATTTACGCGACTGTTACTGATTTTAAGCCATGTCATCCAATGTCCTCAATCACTGTTTGTAATCTTCTCGAATATCTTCAACTGATAATCTGATTTTACCTATACGACTCAAACTAATGGCTAATGAATTCTCGATTGTCTTATTATTATTGTTAGCTTTATTCGTTATTAGATTTTTGGTACAATATAAAATTCTCAGCACAAAGTATTTCAACAAATTTCCGTTTCTTACTTCTTCGTCAATCCTGATGACAAATATTGAGTGGTCGCTGGCTAAAAGTTAGCAGTTCAGGAATCGACATCTGATGACAGAAACAGATAGCCCAGATGTTCAAGCATTAATAATACTCATTTAAATATCATAAAGGTGTACTAAGAATTTAAAATACGCTATATATTTTTTGCATCATTACACCGTTACAATAAATTACATTGACATCAGACTGGATAATAGACTGGCTACATAATTCAGTTTGCCATTCCTAGTCATTTCTCAATTTTTACACTTCCATAACGGGTATGGCAGTCGGATGGTCGTGGAGTATGAAAGTAACTGATTGACTCGAGACACATTCCAATAATTAAAAGGGTGTTTCTTAAAATTTTAGTTTTTGTGTGTTTGGTGGTAAATTTAGACAGTTTAGTGGATTATCGACTTCATGAGTTGCGGTATATTAAAGGCAAATTTAGTTAACTACAGAAAAGTCCTTGCTACAGCTTACAACTACACTCTTTACTTATCAGTATCGTCTAAAAGTTGGTTACCTAGTCAGTTTATTTATCGAATTTATCTAAATACTGCTGCGACTAAGTTATACATAATGTTGTCTACCAAATGAATGTTATGTAAAGTTTAATGTAAGCCTCTGTATCTGATCGTGAATGATTTGTTATTAGGCTAGATGGTCAATATAAGTGCTTTCTTCACAAAACATGAGTATTAAAACAGAAATGTTCTGACATTTTGACCTTTCTCTAAATTGAAACCTATTATATAAACGATGGATAGTGGCTAGCAGTGGAGCCCTGCTTATGCAATGAGGTGTAATTTAAATCCACTTGGTGTTGTTTTACTTGTAGCTAAGTGAATAACGCGATGGCGTTTGAAGCGAACAGTACTGGGTTCGAGTCCCAGAGTGAGCGTCAACTCTGAGATGCAAGTAGACTCGGCTGACGAGTCCCAAATAGGACGAAACGCGTGTCAAACTGGACTACACTGCTAGCCACTATCCGTTTTTGCTCAAAAAGCTTGTGACTTAAGGCTATATCGAGACAATCCGCACAGGGATGCACATATGCCAACATGAGACTGATCAATTGCAGTCCTAAATAACAATGAGAAGATACAAGTAAAACAACACCAGGTGAATCTATTATATAAAATGCTAATACTAACTAAATTTATCAGGTACTTAATTATTATTGAGTTGTTTATTGATTATTTATTTACAAATGCCCAATGTAGATAATTATCCACCTGTACAATTAAGAAAACAGTCGAAAGGACAAAAAACTGGACAGTCAATCACATCAATTCGTGATAGTCTTATTAGTCCTGAAGGTATGTCAATTCCTTCCACTCCGGGTTATGAAAATATTTCTGGTATTTATTATAATGACAAAACAGGTAAATACATGAAAGGACTAGATCGTGATCATTCAAATGGAATGTCACAAGAACGTATATCACGACCACGTTCTAAACATACAACTGCAACAAGTCGAAGTTCTGGTTATTACGGTGTTAATGGTAAGTTACTATGGAATCAAATTAATGGGCTGATCAAATTTTTAATTAAAAGAAGAATTTTCACTATCTGGACTAAAATATTAAAAGTACATAGATAGTGTTGGGAGTTCATAAATGTCCTTCAACAAAGTCTAGAAATCCAGGCTCAAAATGTTCCATTCAATCATCATTGAACAGAAGCTACGCAGAAACATAGAGAAAGTTTATTTGTCACGTTTGGATTATATAATTATTTATGTTGTTACAATATTCAGTATGCTCTCAGAAGTCTCTAGGAAAGAAAGGTCATCTGAAAACCCATAAACACACCCGACTGTTCATCCATAAATTAATCTTAGAGGAAAACTTTTGCTCATATTTATCACCTTTTCTTTGTTGACCAAGTTAAGTTTAATAATAGTTTATGACTATAGGAGGTGGCTGAGAGGTCAATAACAAGCTTTCAACTGGAAGATTTATCAAAGAGAGTGTGTGAGAATGAGTATAAACACATTCCTTCATACACATGACTTTTAGCTATAATCGTTATCTGTGATAGTCATGTGTACTGAGGCATGTTAAGTTTAATTCGAACCAACAACCAGTTGGTTGAAAGCTAATCTCTTTTGCAATTGAACAACTTCCAAGCAAGTAATTGGATGTTAGACCAGCGTTTGGTTCTATTTTTGAAGGTAGATGCTATTGTACATTTGATACATGTTGACTAATGAACCATTTCACTTTGACAAATATTTCGTCTTCTTTGAAATCTGGACCCAATGAATCAGGGAATAGTCCAAGGTAAAATATGAAATTCATTTAGTATACTACTCTTATTATCCATTAACATACTGTGTAGCCTGACAATAGAATGTTCTCTAGTTGGAACTCAACGTTAAATCTGTTTATTTGGCTGACGTTTTTCTGTAATAATTTTGTGTAAATTATTATATACATGCTACTTGGTTGATCATTTTAGTGGTGAATGATACAAGTAAGTTGCACTTAATATTTTAACGATCATCATAACATCAGAACATTTTTTGCGAAGATTGTAAACTTTTCATAGTCTAAATCACGAACCGATCTTAAATAGACTGCTATTGGAAATCAGAGAGAACTGAATAACTATTTCACCCTATTATGTTGTGACTTATTAGAGGTGTGCATCCATAACTAGTTTGAAGTTGCGACACCTGGAGTTTCATTGAGACTGTGACCACTAGAGTTAAACCATATTAAGTGTGAAACAATTATCCTCATCAAGTAATGAATGAGAGTTGAGCATTCTCATGAACCAATTGAAATTAGACACACAAACTGTTGGATTATGAGTTAGTGTTCTATAAGTTAATTGTTCACATGTGAGATCGATGATCCTGGGTTCGATTGCTCATGGTAGGATTGTGAATGTGCATTAATGATGAGCTTTATACTAGGATGGGACATCTATCCAGTTGTTCCATGTTTCTATAATGACCAAAGTGAGATCAGTTCGTGATTTAAAAGCTACGAATATATCATCATATTGTTAAAAAAAATTGTTCAGCATTTATTCATTTTGTTAATGAGTCTTTTTCCCTATTGGTAATAGACTTCTATTGTAATATTTGATGTGATTTCAGTTTCATCTAACGTATTCATACATAGATATCTAAAAGGAGAAAAAGAAATTAGATATGTCCCCCAGCCAAGCCTTGTGTTTGAACTCACATTAAGTTATGTGTTCCAACTGTTTAGTGATTTTTTTAGTGTTATCAGCCCTTAGAAATCAGTTAAATAAATAATTGGCGAGACTATAATTTACAGACGAACGAATCAGATTTAAGATAATAGGTCTCGGATTTCAGCGCGAAATTCATTCATCCCACTGGCTAAATAGAGTTTGGGCACTACAGCTGATGTCAGTTTGTGATGAAAACCCTTAATCTAATTCCTAACCTTAACTATCAACTGTAAATCATAATTCTAATTCCTCACACTGTTTTGTAACCCTCATTTAGTCCTAGTTAGTATATGAACACTCACAAATTCAGTTTAGCGTCACTCAAAGGTCACCTATAAATTATAGTCTCACTAAATAATTTATAATTCAGAACATTTGTTGAAATAAATCACTGACTGATTTAAGCTAGTAGAAAACAATTGAAAACCAAGATATACTGTATTCTCTTCATCTTTTGATACGACACTTCAGCAGTACGCATCCATGAAACCATCAAATATTCAACCTTCAGGTCTTACAGTGAGCTTTCAACTTCAAACCATATTAAATACATGATATTGTAGAACTATCATTCATTCGCAATGATAATATTGTATTCTTTCGTACCTGATATGATCAAAATCTTCTAGTCATATTCATTTCTTCCCGTACTATATCCTTATACATAATCTTTTATATATTACCACCATTGAATTAACTACTTCTATGGATCCGGTGTTCATCTTGTTGTGCTAATGAGTGAGGTATGGCAACTTGGAGCGATTCACCATATATGTTTGGTCCTACATTGTAACTGACTGACTGACTGACTTCTAATTACTTCTCTTAATGTTTCTCACTAGTAAACATGAAGTAAATTGTTACTGAAAGAGTGATTTAAGAGTTTGGTAAACCTTGTAATTTTTATATTTTCCGTTAACTAACTTCAATTCGATTTCAATGGGAAATTAAGAGTTTTCAAATTAAATAGATACTATGTGCCTTTTTTCAAAAAAGAAACGTCTCACCCTAATTTTTCTTCTGTTATCATTGATCAATCGATTTCTGTATGGAAACTTATAAAAGGTTCGCCTATTTGAAATTCATTTCTAATATAACTTGTATAACTAATAGCATAGATACAACTAACATACATTTTCATCACTAGTTTGTATGAAGTAAATTAACATACATCAAATGTTTTTATTATCAACTCAAATTAAATAATTGTTGCCATTACTTATCATGAATAATTAAGTTTAGTCAATTGAATTTATTATTTATTTTTATTTAAACACATAAACATTGGTACAAGGAGGCACCATTCAGATAGACACCATATAAATCATTTGATTTATATGAGGTCTGGGATACTTTCTGGGTGCTCAAACGGAAACAGTTGGTTTTCTTAGGGGGCTACACCTGGAGTCTTCGACCTAATCCACAAGGCAGTAGAGCAATGTCTGGAGGTGCAGTCCCATGGTAGCCAGTGACCAACGATTGGTTCACACGCCATTTGTTTTTTCAGGATGCTGGAGCCCATATGCACCATTGATTTAGAATCAGGGTTTTTTAACTCCCCTAGGTGGATCCTCCATATCCACCAAGGCGGTGAAAGCGCCAGACATCCATTTTTCGTCCTCTCCATTTTTTAAACAATACCCGTGATGCGAGAAGGCAGTGAGTAGGACTTCCCTGTCAGTGGTTGTATATATGTGGACATGTGAGAGCATTTTGAGGTAGAGAGAGAACTGACTCTCTCGACTCTCTTTAGTACCAGGGCATTTGGAGGCATTTAACTGAATAGAGTAAACTACAGCGAAGGAAATACTGAAGTCACCACATTTAGGATCTTCGATGTCAATATTGATTAGTAATTAACTGATTTTTAATATCATTGATTAGAATTAAAGATCCACACAAGAAGCAGTAGTAATCATAAAACTTCATATTATTTCCTACTGATGAGTATGAACAACCAGACTCAGGGATTTATGTCTTTTGGATACAATTGTTCAGTAAATAACACTGTATAGTTAGTTACGAAGTGACCTAATCATACAGCTACCTATTGAAGACCAAATTTTGTCGTCTACTAACTAACCAATGAGAAACTTACATAAAGTACTGATTTATTATTTAGGATGAAGTTTTTGGTTGAAAGGAAGAATTTTTTTCGAAAATTAAGTATTCCTCTTGAATATTCTGTCAAGGTAGGTGGTCATTCATAGACAACGTAAGATCTGGTAGAAAACTGTCCATAGTTTTAAGTTGATACACTTCACACCATGTAGCAAGACGACCAGAGGAGATAATAATATCAGATGCATCCGTAAGTCTGTACTTTCCAGTTCTTGACGTTTGTTGATCAATATCATCATGGATGACAGAAAACTACAAACACATACGAATAAAATTGATACCTGTTTCACCAATCGTTGACTTTCTCGACTCATTAGCTTAGTGGATAACGTGTTAGAACTTGAAATGAAAACAATTAGATTAAAGTCCTAATCTGAACACCAACACTCGGATGTAACTATACTAGATGCCAAGTTTCGAAGGGGATGAAGTGAGAATTTTGGATTGCACTGCTATTCACTATCCAACTTTAGTAAAAGTAGTAATTGTAGTGTAAGGCCAAATCTAGGAAGGGTATTTTAAAAGGGGCGAATGGAAATAAAGAACGAACAGTAAGGAATTGTTGTGATTCGCTGTATCCAATAATGATACTGACGTGCAATTTTCCTATATACCTTCATGCCTTAGAAAATTAAACCACCGGCGATGTATATTTTCTTCTCTAGAAATTCAAGCTACTTTTTGACTAATCACGTGTGCTTATCATTTGACTAATTTCTGATAGACCCGGTGTATAACCTTTTCCTCTTAAATAATAGGTCTGGCTTCTCAGAGTCAGATGAAGATGTTGGAATACAGGCGCATCACAAATGACATTAAACTCAAGATTTTAAAGAAAATATCACTGATGTATCCAAGTCCAATATTGTAATTGTCATAGATAACAAATATTTTACGATTTACAACTTGATATTCTACAACTACCGACATAGTTCAAACTGATAATCAATAATTCCAACAAATGATACCATATCTTGGTTTCCTAACCACTAACTTTGTTTGAACTTAATTCTAAGTCAGTCAGTCTTATGCATTGGGTTAGATATGGTAAATGCTTCCCCTATGTAAGACAACTGATGTTTACATTATTATACCTCTCTCAAGCTATACAGTTCACCCTAGCATTATTCACCTAATGGTTCCATTACATGAGAGAAATGTTTGGAATATCTACCAACATTATATGTCTTTCTGTTTTAAGGGCCATGTTTATATGTACTATACTTGTATAAGTTAGCTAAAAATTATCCGAACATTGAAGAACTTCATTAGTTGGTAGTATATAAGTAAATCGAATAAACACTTTTTATAATCGTATATGTTTTTTCTAAGGTTCAAAACACAGTTTAATAATCAGTACAAAACGTCGAACACTAAGTGGTTTAACTGGTACCCACCCATCAAAACATCGTTCCAGTTCAATGAATACTTTATGGTTCGGTGATCATCCTGTACCATCAGAACATACAATCTCGCCAGCTACACCAGTTAGATTATCAAATATACAAATACAAGCTCAAGCAGAACTTGAACGTCGACACAGATCATCTTCACATGGACATAGTTTAGATAGAAAATCTATATATAGCACAGGAATGACAGAAAGTCATTTATCCAAAGGTTTAAGTGATTATCATCAAGGTTATGAAGGAATTGGTTATGCATATGATAATCGAGGAAGATTAATACATGGTGGTGCATGTTTACCTGAACGTTCAGCTAGTCGTAAACGTCGATTATTAGATGGTCATGAAAGTTTATCAAGAGTATGGATACCACAAAGTGGTGAACACTATCCAGTTAAACAAATATCTGATAAGACAGCTAATTCGCTAATGAGTAAGTTCTTATTTCCGGTATATGTATATTCATAACATGCTTAACATAGAAAAACATTCGATACTTATTACTTGGTAAAACAGTAACGCTTAAGAAATGTAGAATTTGACACATATACACATAGCACAGCGAAAGGAATTTATCAAGACGAATACTAGAATAGTAGAAATGGTAATGGTACCAGTATTTGATGTAAACAATGACTGGAGAAAAAGAATGACTTCACAGAATAAAAACTCTGGGGTAGTTTTAAAATTCGAAATCTAAGAGAAGAAAAAAATGAATACATCTGTATTATTAAGACATATTCTGGGTTGTGTCATCCAACATCTCCAACCATTGGTGAGCTGCACCAACCAACATGGCTCTATCTCACAGTCAATGACTTCATAGACCTATTCCTATGTCATTAAACTTTGCAAATCAAGGTCGTTGATCCCTTGGCATACATAATACATGTCCCAACCATCTTTTAGATAACAGACAATTGTTTCATCGTTGTATCAGTCGAATTTCTGGTGATTAGTTTATTATTCCAGTCAAGAGTAAAAGTGATGAAATTAGTGGTAAAGACAAAGTTGAAAAATATAGACTTTGTAATTCTAAATCATCGAGACTGTAAGATGTTCATAGTTTAAATCACAAACTGATCTCACTTAGATCATTATAGAAACTTAGAACTACTGAACAGATGTTCCATCCTAGTATAAAGCTCATCATTAATGCACATTCACAATCCTACCATGAACAATCGAACCCAGGATCATCGATCTCACATGTGAACAATTAACTTATAGAACACTAACTCATAATCCAACAGTTTGTGTGTCTAATTTCAATTAGTTCATGAGAATGCTCAACCCTTATCCATTAGTTGATGAGGATAATTGTTTCACACTTGATATGGTTTAACTCCACTGGTCACAGCTTCTAACTCATGAGTAAGTAAGTGTAATTATCTTGTAATCTGCAGTGATTGTGTACTATCTGTTGTGTCTTTTTTTCATTTCGGATTCCTTATCCGGGTGATTTTTGATGAACTGAATATACGAAAATCATCTTTACAATAATTTTTAGCAAAGAAGTTAAGATTGAAATATTTTTAAATAAAAACTGTCTCAAAGTTACTGACATTTGTCTAGAGAGAGGATAAGAAATACCGAATAACAGTTAGTTCTACGAGTACTAGATTGAATTGAAATGATAGAAGAAGAAATGAACAATAAAGTGAGTCACTTCAAGAAATATAACTTCTATGGACATCCAAGGTAGTTTCATTTATGACATTGGAGATAAGATAAGTAGAGTACTACAAGTGGAAGGAATTTTGGAAGCGATAGATTTTATATAAAATGAAAATTGATGTCCTCAGTTTGCATAGTTATTGAACAGTAAACGTATATTTATGTATTAGGATGCATAGTTGACATATACATCCAGAGTCAATTGTATCTATAATTTTCTCTTATTTCAAAGTACTTTTCTTAGTTTCTTTTCAATATTTCAATGATTATCGTAACTTTAACAAATGAATTTATTATAACTCGTCGCTTTGTGCCCCCATCAATATATATATGACGTAATGATACCGCCAATTAGAGAGCAGGAATTTATCGACCAGACCAATGACATATAAAACAAGTACGAGCAGCCCTAGAGTCCTTATCGGTCCTGCTTCCTGCCTAGCCCTAACTTTTACGTCCAGAACACCAATCTCAACCTCTACGATATGAATAATTTATTTCAAGCATAATAGGTTTATATACCAACCAGACAGACCACATTGTACCATAAAATAGGAAACGACATTTGTACAAGAATTAGCCAAAAGTAGTTGTGAATGTAGGAGATAGTAATTGATAGACGGGGCATAACTCAAGAATAGCATAATAGCAGTTTAATAACAGTTCGTAGGTCCATAAGAACACCAATATGAATAGTTTAGTTACCTACCAATTATTCAATAAAAATATATCAGTTTAGGGGTTGTGGAGATTGTTAAGTGTTAGCGGGATATAGATTGGATTAAAGCATGCTCAATGCACGATTGCTTTGGTGCACGTTGATTAGCTAATTCTTATCCCATCAGCACTAGTTGGTAGTTGGAGAATACTCTAGAATTTTCTCATGTAAAAACTATAAATGTACTAAAGTTTTCCCTATTGTGCTTCTTACTTGCTTCTTGCTTCCATCTAACCTTGTTATTTGGAATATAATCTCTTTCCTGTTCAACCGTGTTCTGATTTGGGGACTTGTCGAGTGATTGGTGTCCAAGGATATTAAGCAATAGGAATAGCTGGGTTATAACCGTAAGAAAGATATTATAACATTAAGTTTTTGATTGAAATAATGAGTCAATTGAAGCTAGACCACCATTGAAAACCTGGAAGTAATGGACGGCCGTTTCCTCCTAGTATGGGACTCCTCAGTAGTGCGCATCCACGTTCCCGCACCCCGCGAGATTCGAACCCAAGTTCTATCAGTCTCGCGCCAAGCACTTAATATATATAATATTATTTTATAAATGGATTCAAATAGTTACTATTCAATATTATCGTCAGGATATAACAGAACCTTTGTTTTAACTGAAGTTGAATTCTAATTACATAATTGATCAAAGATTGTTAAACTATTTATTGTTTTATAACTATCAAACCCTATATACACCATTAGTGTATAATCAAGGTTTTCCAATTCGACTTTGATGAATTCTCTATATCTACCAAATCAAATTAATTACCGGATATCATCGTATGTCCTTTCACTTTTTCGGAACACTGCCATTAAGACAATATGAATCGAAATGTTTCAAGGAATCATTTTAATTGATAGTACTACATAGTCTGTAAATTCCTCCTGGACACTTTATCCTGTTTTTTATTTATTTATTAACTAATCAGCTGAAATCAACTAATCATTTGTCCATCATAACTCTAGATTAATTAAAAATGTATAGAAATAGTTATGCTTCTGTGAGTTAATAATGTTTCACAGTTTCAAATCATACATTATCATCTGAGGTTGTTGTAGCTTAGTGTGACATAAGGTATGGTGAAGATATAAATTATGTTTATTGTTTCCAGTTGATTGTGATCAGTATAAATACTTTCTTATTATCTTACAAATGTACCCAGTTATATGATATATAAATTCAATTTGACATCTAATGCTCATTATGTTAAACAATGTTCTAAAATCTATATCATATCATTTAGTAACTCAAAAGAGTCTTATACAAGGACGAGACAGCCGTCTACTGCTACCAGGTTTTCAATGGTGATCTAGCTTAGATTGACTCATGAATTCAACTATTTTCATTATTACCGGAAGGGGTTTTGTGGAGATTTCAGTAATTTCAATAGTTGAAATCATCAGTCAACTGAAGCTAGACAACCATGGAAAACCTGGAAGCACTGGACGGCCGTTCCGTCCTATTATGGGACTCCTCAACAGTGCGCATTCACGATCCTCCCCGCGAGATTCGAACGCAGGACCTATCAGTCTCGCGCGCGAGAGCTTAAACATCAGACCACTGAGACGGCATTCAACGGTGTTAATGTCGAACTTCAACTAATCATTATCTTACAAATGTACCCAGTTATATGTTATATAATTTCAATTTGATATTTAATGCTCATTATGTTAAACAATATTCTTAAATCTATATCATATCATTTAGTAACTCAAAAGAGTCTTATACAAGGACGAGACGACCGTCTTCTGCTTCCAGGTTTTCAATGGTGATCTAGCTTAGATTGACTCATGAATTCAACTATTAAAATTACTACAATCTCTACAAATCCTCATTGTGATCAGAATAAATAGTTTTTTTTCTGTCCTTTTTATAATTTTTTTAAAATTGATTGTCATATAGATCGGGATGAACGACAAGCACAATTGGATAATTCAGCGATGGCATTTGCTTTACGGGATTTTAATGCGCCTAAAATTCGGTGAGCTCAAACAATATAACAGTAATATTCACATTACATCTATAATATTATCTATCTATCTATCTATCTAGACAGAAACGGGTTTCGAATAAATCACATCGGAATCATGATGATGATGATAATGCTAATATTAATAGTAATAATAATAATGATAATAATAATATTAAACATGTAACCCATCGTACCGTTATACGCAACAAATCACACAGCATTAAGAAACATCAACGCACACCATCCATTCTCAATTGTTGTATGCGATAATCTTACAATTTATTTACTTATATCATCATGATTATTATTATTTGATTGGCAATGTTTAATTAACCCTGATTATAATTGATTTATTTTATTCATTATTATTATTATTATTATATTTTCTTATGATTCTATTTATTTTTTAATTGAGTAAACTCATTTTTATACCAACATAGTGATTAACCTTAATCTATGGCTGTGACCTTTCATGAAAAGTTTTGGTTTGTGTTCAGTATTTTTTTCCACTTGGTTACATCCACAAGTTTTGTGTGTGTGCGCGCGCGTGTGTGTGTGTGTTTATGTTACCCAAGCACCTAAACTATCAACACAAAAAAAACAGAAAACATATCAGTTCAGTTTAATTTTTTCTTTTTTTTCAATATTTTTAACCAAGAAATATGAATAATTTGTTTGTTTATTCTTTTGTTTTTATTTACACCGTTTTCAATCAGTATATTCCCTGATTGCTGTGAATATTACCGAATAACAAAAGCAATTTTTTTGGCTTTTTTTTCTACTACTGATTATAATAATATCAGTAGTAATATTAGTTCTCAGAGATTTTATACTCGTGTATGTGCGTGATTTCTAGATTCTATGTCCATAGTATCATCGTTTGCTAACATACTATTGGTTGGTTGTATCAGAAGGGGGTTTCGTGTGGATATTATAGTAATTTCATTTGTTAAAATAATGAGTCAATTGAAGTTAGATCACTATGAAAAACTTGGAAGTACTGTTTGACGGCTGTTTCGTTCTATCGTAGGACTCCTCAGCAGTGCACATCCACGATATTTGTCTGTTATTTTCATGAGTAGTATAATGTTTGCCGTGCGAAATGTGTAGACGATTGGAAGAACGATAGAAAAATTAAAAAAGACAAAAAAAATCAATAACACTGCATGAGTGAATCTCTGAGTCAGTAATTATTTAAAGTAATCCAACACTATGTGTTGAAAAAATCAATAGTTTAGTTCCCTAAAATTATATTTTAAACTGTATATACATCTACGTCAATGACAATCAATTTTAATTTGTATGTTGGCGGGACTATAATTTATGGACGAACCAATCACGTATAAGATAACAAGTCTTGGATTTTGGCGCAAAATTCACTTAGCCATTTGGGATAAATAGAGTTTTGGCATCATAACTGATGTCAGTTCGTAATGAAAACCCTAAATCTAATTTTTGACCTTAATCATCAACTGTAAATCATTATTCTAATTCTTCACACTGGTTTATAACCCTCATTTGGTCCTGGTTACTAGGTGGATACTTTCAAGTTCAGTCCAGCGTCACTCAAAGTTCGTCCATAAATTACAGTCTTACCAGTTAAAGTGAGCCACAGATTTAAACACTTTTGTACCTACTACGGTTTGAGGATAGTATGGGCAACAGTAATCTTCACAGGGACATTACTACTCTAAGTTAAATACATAAACTGGTATGTGTTAAGCGAATATAACAGTAGTATTAATAATAGCACACATATCTTAGACTCCTGGAAAAACCGTTTACCTGAAGCTTACGCGAGGAGCACCACCTTCTGGTTAACATCTTTTCATTAAGATTGTTTCTTACGGTATTGGGTTGCTGACCTTATGCTCAACCCTCCTCCTTTACCCGGACTTGGGACCAACAACAACCCTAGAAAAGTTACAGGCGGAGTAAAAAACCATTACTGTCTCATAAATTTGAAAACACTTCATTCTACAGTACACCTTGTATGTTGGGTAAGAAGTAAAAAGCCCATAAATAATTTGCTAATAAAAACATATTAGCCCATTAAATTTACTTTGTAATGCTAGTTATCGTCATACTGTCTTGATGAGTGTTAGATGGTTTGAAGTAGGTGGCAGGAAACTGTGATTATTTTAGGCCTCATAATAGTTTATATTGGTTAAAAATGTTTAGTTGCAAATTTGAAGGAAACCAATGCTCCTTATAGCATTTGAACCAACGTCACATTGCATCGTAGTCTGAATATGAATATCATTATTAATAATAGTAGTAGTAGTGTGGTGTATGCTACTGGTGTTGACACGTATAAGCAGTTTGTATCACCATTCGAATGTGGAATGACTGGCATCAGAAGGTTGACAAAATCGAAGAGAAGAATGGTTGATATGGAGACGAAGGAACAGCAAAGTCTGAGACAATTGATGGATATTTTGCAAATGAAGTATTTACTTAATAGTTCTCAAATTTTACTAAGAGATTCTGTAATTTTGTATCCGCATAAATATGGTTTTCCCAACTTGTGTTCTCGTTCACTACAGTAGTAGTAGTAACAGCAGTACAGGAAGATTCAAGAATTGAATATGATCATAAAAATAATTTATTTAAAATTATTGTTCCATTTTTTAAACAACACGAAAATACAAAAAACCCAGTAGAGATTGACATTAAAATCAATAGGACGAGACGGTCGTTTAGTGCTTCCATGTTTTCCATAGTGGTCTAACTTCAATTGATTCATGATCTCAACTATTAAAATTACTATAATATCCACAAAACCCCTTCTGATATTAATCAACATATACTCACTAGTGACTGGCTTCATTAACTTTTTCTTGGAGTCCTAGTGAGAAGTAGTGACGAGTGGAGTTCAACCGGGTCTATTGTGAGATAGTAAATCACTGATGACAATGGTGGATGTGTCGCTCAATTTCGTGGATTAGTCGAAGTTAGAGATTAACACCGTTGGATGGTCTAGAGATTAAGCGTTCGCGTGCAAAACTAGTAGGTCCTGGGTTCGAATCTCGCGAGGCGGGGTCGTGGATGGGCACAACTCTCAATTTTCAAGTTAATAATCATAAGAGTGATATAGCCAATAGCTTAGCGGTTAACTTACTTGAATTTCGAATGATATGTTACAACTTCAAATCACACTTTATCTACTTCATTTTACGCAACCCAAGTAGCATTGTAGTGAGATAATACTCAAGTGGGGAAGACCAATTTATCGTTTAGTACAGATTCACAGAATGTTTTCGTAAAATATGACACCATACATTATAAACTTCATTTGAATATCTTCCATCAATTGTTTCTTACAAACTTCATCGTTCCTTCATTCCTGTTGATATCTCTGTTTAAATCCCTGTTTTCTTAAATCCGGTCTTCCTAACCCTCTACTGTCAGGCATTCCACTTCTGATTGTTGTTATATACTACTTATATATCTCTACATAAGTAGCATACACCACAGTATCACTATACTATTCCTCACATCACAAAGTGTGATTTTAACCCACGTACATAGAATCAAGTACTTAAGTAATGTTTTAAAAAGGTATCAACAAAAATGATTAAAACACAAACATTGGCAGCATTTCAATTAGATTTGAGAATATAATCTATAAACTATTTTAGAATAAAAATATGGGTTTGTATTGTTGATTGTGAAGCATAATTTTCATGTGAGAAGACTGTATAATCCGAATAAGACAGGGAAGGGTTCGAACCTGTTATCCAATGTTTGAGGGTTGAGTACTTTAATTATTGTTATATTACATGCGGTTGAGTATTTTCCACTTGGGAGAATTTTCAACGTTTTTTGTCCGTTGTGTATTTTTAGTATGCTATTTTGCTACGCTTCCCAAGGACAGTTTTATGCTGTATATATACGTTTGATTTGTGTCTGTTATGATTCACTCGTGCTTCTGGCTTACGGGCTGGGACGCATCAAATAGCTAGCTTATTGGTGCACGGTCACAAGTCTTTGTTCCGTTTGCATACTAAGTGAACTTGTAATACCTTTAAACCTAGCGAATATGCAAAAAAGGCAGTCAGCAGTTTATTGCTTATTAGAGCCGGCTATTTATGAGTTTCATATATAGAAATTTGAATTCTAAACAACGGAACAATGAATAGGCGTTTCTGTGTTGATTTGCCATTATAGTGTTATTTAGATAGATTTCATCTCAAGGGAAAGAGAAGAGGATACTTTTAAAACTACGTGGATATTTACTATTTTAGTTTTAAGTGAAAACCGTTGAATATAAAATAGAATTTCAGTAGATGGATGCATGAGTCTATCTAAGCTAGACTACCATTGAAAACAATGAGAAGACGTAGCTGATCTGAAAAATGTGATGTATTTGCGCTATACATTTCGAACAATCTGGTCACACATATGACTTGTCAAGGCATATTTATATGAAAATTAATAAAGGTCAAACGAATAAAAGTACAATTAAAATAACTAAGGGGAGAGAAAGAATAAGAAATTGTCGTGTTATCCTAGGCCATAAAATGACTTAAGGATTACCAAGGTATGGCCTAGGATAACACGACAATTTCTTATTCTTTCTCTCCCCTTAGTTATTTTAATTGTACTTTTATTCGTTTGACCTTTATTAATTTCACAAGTATGTGTGATCAGATTGTTCGAAATGTATAGCGCAAATACATCACATTTTTCAGATCAGCTACGTCTTCTCATTGTTTTATCGAGATACCATTGAAAAACCTGGAAGTACTGGACGGGCTTTTCATTCTAGAATGGGACTCCTCAGCAGTGCCAATTCATCAATTCATGATCTCACTCAAAAACTCAACAACCTACGCCACCATATGTTCACTAGTGACTAGCTTTGGTAGGTAATTCTCGGAGTTCTGATGAGAAGCCGTGACCAGTTGCAGTTAGTAACTGAAGACAATGGAAGATGATTGTGCAATTTGATGGATTGATTGAAGTTAGACATTAACACCGTTGGATGTTGGCACAGTGGTGTTTACAGGGTAAGTATTCGCGCGCGAGACTGAAGTTCCTGAGTTTGAATCCTGCGTTCGGGATTTTGAATGCAGACTAGTGAGGAGTCCCACACGAAGACGAAACGACCGTCCAATGTTTCCAGGTTTTCCATGGTGGTCTAGCTTCAATTGACTCATGATCTCAACTATTGAAAGTCTAACAATCATCGATTTATCTTAGATTGACTCATGAATTCAACTATTAAAATTGCTACAATCTAGACAAATCCCGATTCTGCTAAAATATAATTGCTACATTTGTTAAGTTGGTGAATACGACAAACCACATTGTATTCAATTAAGTGTTTTCCACAGCGAATTGAATTCATTTCAAATAGCTCGTTTTCCTATCCTTTCATAGATATTAACCGGGAACAACTTGATGAGTATAATCGAAATGAAATAAATATTCCTTTGTTTTATTTAATTTAATCTAATGCGAATATCATCATTAATAACAAAACATTTTAATACCATTCCATAACTTCTTAACTCATTATGACAGCTTGTACAACGCTCATTCTCTTTATGTTCTCATCTATTGATGATTTCATTTTAGTAATTTAACACATTTTATTCATAGTGTAGAGGTGTTCTGTAGATTGTTAGATTTAGCATTTCATATCGCATAGTGATTGTAGTTAGTCATCTATTAAAAACCAAGAAGTTAAAGACAAATATCTCATCATAACATACAAATCCTCCATTATAAGAATCTATGATCACATAGGGATCAAACTCAAGATCTCCGTGTCTCGGATCAATTTCTTCATCTTTACACCATTAGGATGTTGTTATACGGTGATCTATATTTCTAACTCTGGTTAATGAGTGATTATGAACAGTTCTCATCCATTGAGACTGGTGATATTTGTTTCACGTCCTACATAGTTTAGCTCCACGGATCTTACCTGATTGGAACCAACCATAGTTAAGCCCTAATGTGAAACCATAAACATTTATTAGTTTAGAAAGTCTTTTGACGATTACAAATTTTCAGAAGCAGTTTGGTGGATATTATAGTATTTTCAATAGTTAAGCGCTCGCGAGCGAGACTGCCAGGTCCTGGGTTCGAATCTCACGAGGCGGAATCGTGGATGTGCACATTTGAGGAGTCCCATAATAGGGCGAAACGGCCGTCTAGTGCTTCCAGGTTTTCCATGGTGGTCTAGCTTTAATTGACTCATGATCTCAAGTATTGATATTATATATTTCTCGATTTAACTATTCTCTCCTATTTTGAATTTGTCCAGCTAGATTAAAAGGATTAAAAGTGTGTAGGAAAGTTAAATATTAAAGACTGGATGAATGTATACAAACTTTGTCTATATACATTTTGTATTCAACTGGTTCCGTTGGTACTATTGTCGGTAATTACTTTGACTCTCTTATATGTACACTTTGCAAATATACGTGATTTGTTCAAGTTTCCACTACATATTATCCCTCTTTCCTCTTAGTTAAATTTTCCTTTTTGAAATTCACCTGTTTTTAGTTGGTGACTTCATCATAAACTGACATCTATGAATAGAACTATAAAATCTAAGAATGAACTTGATAGCCCTTTTAATCCTTATGTTGGACTCTTTAATAATGTCTACACACTTAGCATCTTATATGTAATTGATTTATGAATATTCAGGTTTCATGGAGGACGCAAGCACATTTAGGTAATTGAGTCCGTTAATAGTGGTACAAAAGTTTAACTTCGGTTAATTGTCGATATAGTATTCCTATAGGTTACATTTCACTTCAACTTTTAAAAAATCTATCTAACGGAGATCTGTTCATTTTAAATTGATATCGTTCAGTGGACTAGTTAATGAAACTCTTAGTTGAACACAGCTGCTAATCAATACATCTACTTGAATTATTCTCCATAAAACACTGGTTCAGGTAGTATCAGTTAGAAGTTGTGACTTACCAAGTATACAGTGTTGAAGATGTTAGAAGATGATAGTTTCAATATATCATGAATTGACCGACATAGAAAATATTGATTGCAAGATACCAACGTAGTAGTCTCAAACCACTACACTCTACTTGAAACCTGAATGTTCCGGAACCGATTATGTAAGTAGGTTGTGGCTTTGAGTTTTAAAAGTAGTTTCGGACTAAGACAGAATTAGCCGTTTAGTGCTCAGCAGTTTTCAACGACTTTTCACCATGCGCTTATTAGTAATTAACTTTATTAAATGTTCCCCCAGAGTTCTAGTGAGAATGTATAGGATGTGAGATAAATATCGCCAGTCTCAGTGGATGAGGACTGTTCATAATCACTAATTAACCAGAGTTAGAAATATAGATCACCGTATAACAACATCCTAATGGTGTAAAGATGAAGAAATTGATCCGAGACATGAAGATCATGAGTTTGATTCCTATGTGATCGTAGATTCTTATAATGGAGGATTTGTATGTTATGATTAGATATTTGTCTTTAACTTCTTAGCTTTCAATATTTATATCTAACATCAGTTACTATGTGACACAAAATCACAAGTTTTTTCATCAAATTGGTCTCATTCTTCAAAAACATTTATCTTCAGACAATTATTTTCGTACTAATTATATTTTCTCATATATGAATCTCTTAAATGTGACTTAGAAACTATCTATTCATCTCTTCAGTAACAATATTGATCAATCTTTTACATCATTATCAACTAGTCTCATTTTCTAACTTGAAAACCGCTATATTAGCATTATATATGTATAAACGAGGTGGTGTGGTGTGTGTGTGGGGGGGTAGGTGAGTTGGTGATTATCATGTTATCTATACTAGACTGATATCTTGTTTCATAATTTCTTAGACTGAATTCCTTTCATCTATCAATGATTACTCTTCTCATTTGCAGTTATTGTAATGAATTCATTGAATTTAGTTGATATGTAGGTTGGAATGATTATTGACTTTATTGTTTCTGGCCTTTCTGTTTTTATTTTCTCTCTTCTCCTAAATGTTCAAATAACGATTATGTAATAATAATGATAATGATACAAATGAACGATATTTTAATTGAGACATTCAATGTGTTTTACTTTTTAAGTAGTATGTTATGAATCTTAGTCTTTAAGTTTCCCTATGTATACATATTAAAGTTACCTAAGATATTACTGATAAAGTTTTTTTGTTTTTCTTTTTTACTGATATTCAAGACTGAATATGACCAGTGTGAAGATTAAGACCTTGACGCTATAGGTTGACTGGCTTAGCCTTATGTATAAGTTCAAAGTGAAACCAACTGCTTGGAGTAGAGAGACGAAAACTATTCTGTCACCTGATTAGCGGACAAGCACGCGACTGAGAGAAGACAAGTCAAATGGAACACAATAAGACTTATTCCTAATTTCGATTCACACAACGATTTCGTTCCGATTCAGATTAGTGCGATAAAGATATATGAATAAATGAATGACTAACGTGACTCCATCATGCGCAAGCAATTAGAAAACTATAAATACATTGAGAGCTAAGTATTAGGGTAGAAAAACAGAGTACTAAGGTGCCCCTTCCAGCCAAACAAGTTGGTAAAGCCTAGTAGGCCCTTTTGGAGAGAAACAGGCCACATCGAAGTATGGCATAACTACCGGATCTAGAATAGCTGTTTTTCCAATCGGTTGGAGTTTTCCCCGTAGGGAACAAACCCGTTCATTCCATGCACCACTTTTATGAATGTTTTGTCATTTTTCGATCCAGGAGTAATTGTGCTGTGACTCTTTGTGGATTTCATAATCAGTTTGTGGGTATCTGTCGAGTGGGTGATTACCTCGATCTCTACCACCCGGGTTACCGATCACGTTAGTTCATGGAACTGAGTCCTACTATCCAGGAAGCACGATGAGGACATATGAGTCGGGTTTTGCCTCCCAGAGTACTAAAGGTTATATTTGAATTACAATGAACCTCAAAAGCAGTTATTATCAAAATAAGATTGTGACAAGAGAGACACATACACATGTTTCGGTAGTGAACAGTGACATCAAAAATAATACGAAAGGGTTTCTAAGCAACATTTATGGTGCTTGTATTACTTAGGTCTTGAGTCTTTTACCGCAGCCTTCGGAAAATGTTTCTAACATTTTAGTCGATTTCCCCAATAATTGATTTTTTGTCCGAAGTGTAAGAATCATCCTGACATGACTGTCATATGTTATAGAGTTTAATTGATATACCTAAATGCATTCTCTTCTAGCCTGGTATTTCGGGTCTGACCTTGTTACTTGAACAAACGTAATCAATTAATCAATCCATTTCATCAAAGTATTAATTGGACATGTGAAATTTCCCACTATGCTTCATAAACAATTGAGACAACTTTTCAACCAGTTCTTTTGACAATCATAGAACAGGCTTGTAAATTGATATTTTTTGGGAAAGAAAGGTAATGTTCACTTCACTTACTTACTTACTTAGGCCTGTTACCCCCAATGTAGCATAGGCCGCCGACCAGCATTCTCCATCTCACTCTGTCCTAAACCTTCCTTTCTAGTTCTATCCAATTGTTCTTCATTATTCTCATTTCTGTCTCCATTTCTCAGCGTAATATGTACTTTGGTTTCCCGCTTCCCCTTTGGCCTTGAGGATCCCAAGTGAGCGATTGCTTTGTGACTCAGTTGAGTGCTTTCCTCATTGTGTGTTCTATTCATTTCCAGCGCTTCTTGTTGGGTTTTTCCTCCACTGGAATCTGGCTTGCTCTCTCCTATAGTAGGTTGTTGCTGATTGTGTCTGGTCAACGGATTCGAAGTGTTTTGTGTTGGCAACTTTTAATAAACAATTATATTTTCTGGACGATGGTTTTCGTAGTACAGTAGAACAGTCTTGACATTTGTATTAACCTTGGTGTTGTTTGACAATTGTTTTGAATTCCAGATGTTCCTCAGTTGTAAATATGCTGCTCTTGCTTTGCCGATCTGCGCCTTCACATTTGCATCAGATCCACCGTGTTCATCAATGATGCTGCCCAGATATGTAAAGGTTTTTAAATCATCCATAGCTTCTCCATCAAGTGTGATTCGATTGGTGCATGTTGTGTTGTATCGGGGAATATTGATTTTCCCTTTTTGTATGTTGAGACCTACTGCTGCTGCTGCTACACTGGTCGTCTTCTCTTGTTATTGT